ACCTTGCGCTCTCGCGATCCTGTACTCGTTTCAGAATGGAACTGTCTATCCTGTACCTTGAACACAAGAACAACATGTCCTTCAGACCATCCCTCCTGCTCTGGAATATTTAAATGACCTCACGTCGGTGTCTCCCTCCCCCTGTCCCTCCCTCCCCCTCCCACCTCTCCCTCTCCCTCCCCCTTGTCCCTCCAAAGTTTGGTGCTGGGATTGACCCTCTCGGACACTCTGACCACGGATCAATGTTCCATCCTTTGTACCTACGTCAGATAGTAGGTAGGACAGATGTGCTAGTCCTTGTGTGCCTTTGTCTGTCTTGAGTTCGTGTGTGTCCGAGTCTGTGACCGTGTCTGTATCTATGTGGTTTAGGCTCTAGGAAGCCATTTGTCCCCCTTACATTGTTACCTTTATCTACCTACAGTTTGGGTTCGAATCCCAGATGCGAGACCTGCCAGAGGTCAATGGCTCCAGGTATCCGTCCATGGGCCCTTGGATTTCGAGAAATCCGGGGGGCCCGCGGACCTTTCTTTTGTCCTATCCCAAATCCTTATCCTCATCCCTTCCATGTGCAATATAGTCGTAATGACTGATAATTCTTCTGATAATTACCTTAGCGTCCCCTTCCACCCACCCGTAGCTCTCTTCCTCCATGTGCAGGCGATGAGTCACAATAACGTGGCTAAAGTATGTTGACCAGACCAGTCCAGTTTCGGTCTAGGACGGACCGAAACGTCGTCGTCCCTTCACCTTCTAGTGTGTCGCCTGGTTCTCTTCCTCCATGCCTGGTCCGACCCTAGAGTTTCCCGTCTCGGCATCCCTATTGTCAGTGTGGATCCCTTTGGGCTCCAAGATGATGATGAAGATTAAGCCACCCAAAAGGTGGCACGGGCATGAATAGCCCGTAAATGGTGACCCTTTTGAGCCATTACCAGTATCAAGAGCTGATACTGGAGATCTGTGGAGGTGCGACTGCACCCTGCGTGACGGGAGATGTCTCCCGTTTTGGGCTCCATCTACACTCAGCTTACCTCCTCCCATCTGTCTCTTTGCTCTCCTTCCACACTGAGTCACAGCAGATGGTCACCTCCACCATCTTCCCAACAAGTGTGTCTCTTGGAAACCATTGACATTATCATCAACTAGAAGCTGAGGCCACAAACTCCCTCCAGTTGTCTTTTTCATAGAACGTGTGGAAATAATACACTCTTTCCTTCTCGCAAATTTAACAATATGGGAGAGAATAGTTGTGGAAATATTTGTTGTCCTATTTTTGTAACCGACTTATTCTGTAGGTCCAATAAAAATATGGGTCCAAAGTGGAAGTGCCGCACTGCAAGAGTTAATTACAATCAATATGTTATCCAGAGTTAAAAATGTATAATAATTCCAAGGTGCATATTAACGTTCAAGGTCACTATAGCTAGACCTAAATCTATTAAAATCACTATCACGGTTTACCAAAAATCCCAACTTTGTAGGTCGCTTTTTGTCCATTCTTACGCACATTTCCACATCAAGCAGCGTAGCAAGAGAATTAACATTGTAACGCGCCAAGCTATTACGACTATATAGCCCTTGAAAGGGGTCAGGATAAGGATTTGCGATGGGACGGGGGAAGGAATGGTCCCCAACCACTTGGACGGTCGGGGATTGAACACCAACCAGCTATGAAGCGAGATCGTCACTCTACCGTCCAGCCCAAGTGGTTGGAGGAAGCAGCGTCAGGCACAACATAGATGCCCATCGAGCAGGAGCTGGCTGGCTACCTCAATCGATCGAATTTTTGTTTTCAGGGATATTCCTGCTCGGGCGCTAAGCCTCTGGCTGGCCCACTCGGGTCGATGACAAACAATGTTTGAATAACGTTTAATCAAGGTTGACTCAGCGTTCATTCGTTGCTACATCAGCGTTATTTGCGCAAATTTCCCGAACGTTGATAGAAGTTATTGGGTTCATGGATGTGTTTTGCTAGCTGGGAATTGCCCAGGATGTTCCCCTCCTCCGCTACGCACACACGCACCAATGTCTTCTCTTGTTGTTGTCATACTTATTTGTTCTTTTTGTTTGCTTTTATTTGTAAATAAATATGTTAAAAATAGGCGATTGTTTTCCTACACGCCTTCTTGGTTATGATTTATATATATTATTTATATTATGAGTCGTAAATCACATTTTTTAAGGAAATGAATCAATGGGGGCGAGAGTTTTGGGGTTAAGAGGACGAACCTACAAATTAAAATGTTGAATTTCAGAATTGAATGGATGCGTTCCCTGTTCATTGTTCCTGTCTCATTCTAAATTAATATTAATAATTTGTGCCCCGCCACCCATACCAAGCAGCACTATATAGCTTTTCAGTTAACTATTCACGTAACTACTTCACCGAGACAGGTGAAATAATTACGTGAGGAGAAATAAGTTCAGCTCGAGTCACGAGAAGTGGGGACGGCACCACTCCTGTGCCAGGTAAGTCCACTACGGGCTCACCATAGCCCGTGCTACTTGCCCCGCTCCTGTGCCAGGTAAGTCCACTACGGGCTCACCATAGCCCGTGCTACTTGCCCCGCTCCTATGCCAGGTAAGTCCACTACGGGCTCACCATAGCCCGTGCTACTTGCCCCGCTCCTGTGCCAGGTAAGTCCACTACGGGCTCACCATAGCCCGTGCTACTTGCCCCGCTCCTGTGCCAGGTAAGTCCACTACGGGCTCACCATAGCCCGTGCTACTTGCCCCGCTCCTATGCCAGGTAAGTCCACAACGGGCTCACCATAGCCAGTGCTACTTGGAACAAAAAGTTCCAAGTAGCTGAATCTTAAACAACAACAACTAAGGAGGAACATGAACATGTGGTCACGGCGAGGAATGTCTGATAAAAGTGGTCAAGCAAGAGTGGTGATCGTGAGAGGCATGCACACTCTCACGTCATCAGAATAATTACAAACACCTCACAATTTCGAGTCCTCGTGGGAACTGATCATTTAGAATAGAAAACATGATACCTTAAATATTTTCCACAATATAAGTTTATAAATCAAGAAATTATAGCAGTATAGCTGTTATAATTTATCGGTAAAATACACAAAAAATAGTCGATTCGTGCATTTCTGATTTTAGGCCAAATGTGTGTCCATTAAGTTAGGCTAGTTTAAATTAACTTTTATCTTTTTTTTCTTTAACTTTTATCTAACTGTATTCTTTTAGTGCAGTTCGTCTCTTTCTCGACTCACAATCGGGGTTCCCGGATTAGATGCGGTATAGAAATGGTTGGGCAGATTTCCCTTTCGCTTAATGATTCGGTAATGATTCTTTGATTCTGTAATGATTCTGCATTAGTTCGACCATTGGGGGAGACCCCTCTATAGATAGATAATATCTTAATGATATATAATATATGTATATATAAGCTACAGTAATGTCCTGGCATTTACAGCTTCGACGGGTAGGTGGTTCCATGGGTTTATCACACTTGTGCCTGCAGAATCGAGCATTAACTCTTGAACCTGGCCTATGTAGCCGTCGGTTGTTTAAAGCAAGAACTCCTGTCCTATTTCCCCTATCATATCTACTTTTAAAATTATGAATTATGAGTCACATTCAATTTTGTAACTACATCTTCAAGACTAACTTGTATAAATGATTTCTGGGATGGAATCCCTGTGCCAATTATGTGCCTCTGTAATCATTTTCCCTACCGCCTACAGGATGGGTATGGTGTGCATAATAAATGAACTAAACTAAAAACTTAAACAACTTAGCCCTTTTTCCCACTACTCTCACGCTAAATGAAAACTTTCTAACATCTCTTTGACTCATCCGAGTCTCGTGCTTCCACCCAAACCTTCTCGTTCTACTGATATTCAAAGTGAACATTTCCACAATTTCCACTGTCAATCCCCTTAATTAAGTAATATATACGCCTCTTTCATGTCTTCCTACAACTTTTTTTTCTTCTAGCGTTGTGAGGTTCATTTCTATTAGTCGCTCGTCGTACCCAAGCCCTAGCATTTTTGGGACGAGCCTCTTCGCTAGCTAATTAACTTTTTATAGTTTCCGTATGTGTTTCTTTAAGTGGGGGTTTCCATGATGGAGCAGCTTACTCTAAGCTGGTCTTTTGTGTGTGTGTGTGTGTTTAGATTATGAAGTACAGTTCAATAATACAAACCTGGGTTTAGTGAGCATTTAGAAAGCTATATTGAATATTTAATAGGTGCAGTGCGCATTTAAAATACCTAGTGCGCATTTAGAGTATGTAGTTTGCATTTAGAGGGTGTATAGTGCGCATTTGGTAAATCTAGTAATGATATAGTGTATAGTGCGCATTTCTATAGTTTAGTGTAATGTGCATTTAAAGGATATAGTGTAGACGAAGGTGATGTAAAACGATATATATATATAAATAAAGGTATATTTCGCAGTCCAATATTAATGCTCCTATAGGGAAGACAGCAGGCGTAGTGAACATATATGTTACCCAGGGTGTATGGTGCACAGCACAGATAGATATACAGATATAGATAGGGAAATGTGTATATAGAGGGTGCAATGTGTATGAGAGAGTATGAAATGTTATTAGATACATGAAGGAGATCATAATGACAAATTATAATGTGAATAACAGTGGCATGAATAGTACGTTGTATAATTGTAATTCTTGTATTAAACACTATCTAATTTTGTTAAAATATGATGACAAATTACGTGGGAAATAATACTGAGAGTTGAAATAGTTGTAAGATCTTGTAATGACAATTGTTACTAATAATTCATTAATATTATATGAAGGATATTAGATTTGCATATACAAACACACGTTCAGATTTATATAGAGATATACCAGGTATATCCATATCTAAAATATGAATAACATCTTCATTGTGTAAGCCACTGAGATGAATTGGGTCATTTGTGTTAATTATTACGCAATGAGGATTCTGAAGGTGTCTTAGAAAGCAAGTAAATAATATATTTCGATCCGAGCATGGAGCGTTTTGGGGGTGATAGTGCGCATGCGCTGGGCCGGTCCACGTCTCGTCCGATTAACATCCTCAGTTGAAATACCTCTTGAAAATGCTGTCGTACATATAGAAATCCATAGCAAGCCTTTAAAAGAACAGTATTTGACCTTGAGTAGTGTTAGCTAAAGCTATTAGTCATTTTACCAAGAATCCACCGTCAATTATATTTTTTATTTTTGTCATATCAGCAATGGAATCGGACAGTTGCCATCAACGAAACCAATGTGAAGTAGCGACTGAGAGACACCCGACCACAATTTTTGTGAGAATTGCTCATTCGTGAATCTCGGAGGGGACATGTTGGGCCATTAACAAGCCGGAAGGAACGTGGAGAAGGACGTGATATAAGCTGCGTTGCCAAAGATCCGTGAGAGAGTGCTGAGAATGGCCAAGTTGGTTGGTGTTTACGAGGACGAGGCGGGTGTCAGGCTCGGCAGGAGGCAACTTCCCCTCTCCGTCTATGATAGCAAAATAGTGAGTATTGGAGCTGTGGGCCGAGGATGGCAGGTGCGGGGTCCGGGCATGACAAATGGCGGCAGAGGAGATCAGGTGGGGGCCGAGTATGGCAGTCCCCAGGGTGCCACGGCCTCCCAGGGTGCCGCCTTGACCAGCTGGGTGGTGGGGGGGAGGAGCAAGGGAAGAGGGCGTGAAGCAGGGGGCAGGAACCAGGAGGATAAAGACGGAGAAAGGGCAGGGGCGAGGAGTGGGAAGTGGGGCATTGGCGGGGAGTGGGAAGTGGGGCATTGGCGGGGAGTGGGAAGTGGGGCATTGGCAGGGAGTGGGAAGTGGGGCATTGGCAGGGAGTGGGAAGTGGGGCATTGGCAGGGAGTGGGAAGTGGGGCATTGGCGGGGAGAGGGAAGTGGGGCATTGGCGGGGAGAGGGAAGTGGGGCATTGGTGGGGAGAGGGAAGTGGGGCATTGGTGGGGAGAGGGAAGTGGGGCATTGGTGGGGAGAGGGAAGTGGGGCATTGGTGGGGAGAGGGAAGTGGGGCATTGGTGGGGAGAGGGAAGTGGGGCATTGGTGGGGAGAGGGAAGTGGGCCCGAAACATGCCCGAAACGCTCTGCGTAATAGTGGCTTTAGGCATTGTATGTACTAGCTATACCTATAAGTTAAACAATCCTTGTAAATATTTATTGTATGTATGTACCTTACCTAAATAAAATTGTATTGTATTGTATTGTATTGTGGGGCATTGGTGGGGAGTGGGAAGTGGGGCATTGGTGGGGAGAGGGAAGTGGGGCATTGGTGGGGAGTGGGATGTTGGGCAGGGGTAAGGAGCAGGAAGGAAGACAGGCAGGCAGTGAGGCGAGGATTGGGATGCAGGTTAGGGGGAAGTAAGGAGCAGAAAGGCAGGCAGGTGGCAAAAAGCATAGTTTCAGATCAGGAAGATCATATTGTAGACAGATATGTAGGAAGGTAGGTCATATCATTCGTAAGTTATTTATTTATTAAGAGTTCAGCCGTTGGTGTTGTATTTCTGGTAAATGGTTTTAACATTCAATATATATAACAATATATTTCACTTATTATTATGGGTTAGGATGAGCAAAGTAAGTTAAGGGAGGCTAAAGTAAGGTTTGTTAGATTTTAAAATTGGTATATATGTGAACTGTTTTCTGTATGAAGTGATCTATTTACTGTCAACATGGTTCAGCGGTTGTGAGACACATGCATATTCTAAAATCCCTGTTTTAGAATATATTCTAGAATGTTAACAAGCAATTATCGTGGGTTTGTGTCTAGCAAACTTCTTTACTCTCTTTTCAGAGTATGTTATTATCCTAATGCTGTTCTAGGCATTTTTAGAAATTGTCTAATTCCAGAGGAAGTATTTTTTTATATGTTGGCTTAACAGATGAATTATCTAAATAATGAACCCATGCTTATTTGAATTATTTTAAATATACAGTATTGTATATAACCTAGACTTCTGGGGTGCTGCATTAGTGTTTAGGTACTGGTCATAGGGTGTTGTAGAAGTTGAATACAGGTATATAATAAGTTAACCATAATTATGCCTTCAGGTGCAGTGATAACTTATCTTCTAGTGCAGTGCTCTATTGATGACCAAACCACACATCAGAGAATGAAGAAACAATGACGTTTTGGTCTGTCCTGAACCGAAACGTTGTCATTTCTTCATATTTTCAGCCATGTTATTGTGACATCATATGCAGTGCTCTGTTGACCAGTATCCATTGTATCCATTATATTTAGGCCTAAGTTATGTAGGCTAAGGACACATTTGTCAGATTCCATCATTTACTGATGAATAATCTCGGCACATCTTCTGTGTCAGGTGAGTTCGACAGGCTCACCATAGCTTGTGCTGCTTGGCACTTTTTGTTTAGAGTAGCGAATCTAAAACAAATCACTAGCTTACTGGCTGTTCATGACTGTACCACCTCTTAGATGGCTTAATCTTTATCAATCGATCATTGAATAATCTCGGCACATTTTATAATATAGGTTTCAACCACTTTGCAATAATATATAAAATGTTATCGGTCTGTAGCTTGGGTGTGCTTTACTACCACCTTTATGAAGTACATAGGGCTATTTCAGTGGTTTTTAAAGTATTAGGATCTTACAGATATCTAAAATGTCTTTTTAGGATAGTTGAGTCTGAGATAAGGGTTCTTTGCAAGTGAAAATATCACCTTAAGGGTACGGAAACATGTGACAGGATGCTTGTGGGTTGCCTCCATTACCAGACTTGGTAGGTCCCTGCAGTAAGGTGCTGTAGCAGTTTCCAGAACAATAGGATGTAATTTTATCATGTCACACTGCTGATTAAATTATAAATGGTCAATAAAGTTAACTGTTTGCTGACTGGCTGTAAACTGACCACTTGTGTATTTCTAATGTTCCATGTTGGTCACTGTTGTCAGTTAATGCTTTAGTCCATTAATCAGTATATATAAAGTGAGATGTTGTTAATGGCTTATTTGTTGAGTAGTGCTACTTTTGGAACCCGTTCAGTACTCCAGTTAATAAACAAATTGCCTAAATTAAAATTCTGCTGGTTAGTGGCACCACACTTTTTCATGATGGTTTAAAGTGCTCAATACACACTTCTCAGTGATGTTCATTTTAGCATGGAATATCCCAACATCTTGCAGATAATTTTTATTTATTCTACTTATGTTAGTACCACTGCCACACTGCATCATCAATACCCATTTTTTGCAAAAAAACAAAAAAAGTATAATACTTAATTTTGTTTTCATCACCCTGAATTCTGCTGCAACTTCATTTTTATTGAAACTTCTTTCCACCTTCTTATATTCCATTTTCTTTACAATTGGCACCTCATTGTTTTCTCTTGGGCCTACTGGGTGTTGACATGATGCCCAACTGATTTCCTGTACTTGGAGGAAAGGTCCCAAAAGTGATTCAGAATTATCAGTGAATTCAGGGATGTGAAGGGTAATCTTTTGGTGAATGCCTGTACTAACTCAAAGTAATAGATGAGGAGAATGGGATACCCCTGTTTGGGGTGCACATGTGCAGACTGGGTGTGCGCACGTCCCCTTGTGTCACATCTCTAGGTAGTCCACCTGTGGAACTAGGTCTTGGTGTCAGAGAGACTGATGTACAGTATATTTACAAAATTACGATTGAGCTGGAATTCCAACATGTTCATGCATTTTTGCCCACTCTACTATTCTATATTGAATAGAATAACGATTGAATAGAATTGAATAGAATAATAGAATGACTAATCCGCACACCAGAAGATGAGGAGACGACTTCATCTAGGTGTCTCCTCGTCTTCTGGCGCTTGGTATAGTCTTCATATCTTCAGCCACGTTATTGTGTCTCATCGTCTGCATTCTGTATTGTGTATTGGCACTTTTATGTGGGTATAGGATAGTGACAGTTTGTAGTTTTGTTGCCTAATTTGAATCGGATACTGTAGCCTTCTGTACTGTATTGTATTTTAATAACACTGTACCTATTATTTTAGCACTATTTTAAATATTTTATATTTTTTGTCCTGCAGATGACAATGCAACTGGGGGAATCGTGTGATGGCTGTGATGTTACCGGTAGCACTACAAAGCGGCGATGTGACGAATCCTTTACTAGACAGTATAATGCCCTGAGCAAGGATGAAGTCGTGGCTGCACTGATGGTTCCCTCTAAAGTGTTGTTCACGAGACTCGCTCAGACAGTAGCATGTGTTGGCTGTCGGAGAAGGTAAGTGGCTCCATGAGGTTGGATTTTTATAGCTGCTGCTTTTGGTAATGTTCATGTAGGTAATTGTGGGTTTGAAAAATATCCCGAAAGTAATAGTGGCAATAGCAGGAAATGCTTTTATAATGCTTGTTTGAGTAATTAATAACAAATATTTATGTATCGTGGCTGCAACTGTTTCAGTTTTTTTATGTTTTATGTATAGCAATATCCTGTTTTGGAAGGATACATTTTTAGTTAAGAATGCCATCTTTGGGGATACCTCCTGTGCTCCTGTTTGGCCACACGATCCTGTCATCTTGTTTGACTATTCCTGTTGGGAATTGAGTGGAGATTTATGTAATCATCCATCAATCAGTGTACTGTTCTTCAGATATGAATATATAATACTGTAATTATATAGCTTCAAGTTGAGCATGTGTATGCAATCAATTTGATGTGTTGTAAAATACATTGTTGATACAGTAATACTGTTATAGAGAGAGGTATGCATTATATTATTGTATATACTGTGCATTTTTTTGAAAGCTTGTTGAAACAAAATCCAGTCACCAGAAAATTTGAGGCAAGAGAAATCATTTACATTTGTAGTTCCACAAAACCAAGAAATTGTGGAATTTTTATAATAAAATAGGATTTTTCCATGTGATTTCAGTAATATAAATGTACACTAGTAATATGCACTAAAAAAAAAAGCACAAATTTATTTTAAAAAGTTTAAAAATATTGAGAAATGGATCAAACTTTTAAACAAAGGAACAGGAGAAACTGGAGTAAATTGGTGAGCAAGATTCCACTGTGCCAGTATAGTATGTCAGCATTCTGCTTTGAATGTGTGTAGTTATATTGATTACCATTACACAGAAATCACAATTGCGTGATGCATCAAATGAACAATTCCACAAGGGCCGTGACGAGGATTCGAACCTGTGTCCGAGAGCATCCAAGGCAGCGTCTGGGATGCTCTTGGACGCAGGTTCAAATCCTCGTCACGGCCCTTGTGGATTTGTTCATTGATTACCATATAATAATGCTAGTGGAAAGTGATGCCTGCAGTGTAAACATAAATTGGAATCTGGCTACTTGTAAACTTATGTTTAGAATAGGAAAAAAAACATATAGTGGGGCTGCCCAATAAACTCGCCCTTCGGGGCAAAATTTAAAATTTAACATGCAGTACAGTGTGTGTGTGTGTGTATGTATGTATGTATGTATGTATGTATGTATGTATGTATGTATGTATGTATGTATGTATGTATATAATACACACACTGTATATGTATGTATATAATTCACGGTGAATTATTTATGAGAAAATTAAGGATTATTTTTTTTATATGATCTTATCAAACTAAAGCCTCACAATTTGTTAAGTGTTTACAAGTACTGTACAGTACTGGAGAATATAAATTTATATTATTAAATAACTGCCAAGAAATGTTTATAATGTTTGTTTTTCGTTTGTTTATTTTTGTTTATTATTTGCCTCTCGTAGTTGTGAGCTTCCTTGTGTGTTTTGTTCAGGGTTAGTCATTTGTGAGTGGTGGCAGAGTTTAACTTTTGCTGTAAATCTGTTTTGTCATCAAATTTGGTATTTATTTTTATCGTTATATTTTCAGCCTACTTTGTTGATTAATAAATATTAACGTGCATGTTGTTGTACTAATGCAATACATGTAATTGATTGACAGTGTGGAGCGGCTCTTTAACCAGCTGAAGGACTCGGGTCACCCTGCGCTGGAGCCACTAGTAATCACTAGCAATGGGTTTCTCACTGTTCTTCGCAAGTATGCCCTTCAAGCGAGATCATTAGGGGCCTTATTTAGTGATCATGGGTGAGTGCTTTTTGGATGTGTGTAGTCCTCTTGTGCTGTTATTAACCTTACTAAACCATCACTTTTGTCAAACTTTTTATTTTCTGAACCTACTCGTATCAACTTTGAATATTGTAATGTAATATCAGAGCACTTGCGGTATATTAATTACCCATTGACTTTGAGAAAGGGGGCAGGGCTTGAGAAAGCCTTTGAAACCTTTGAAGTTATGGGAGGGTAATTTATTTTAATGCTACTATGGCTAAAGCATGAGTAGATAATTACAATTTCTCAAGATCAGTGAATAATGTCTTCACTGTTCACACTGTTCCCTTTTGAATTCTGGCAACCCCGACCAGCCTATGTCTGTCCCGTACCCCAGACCATTCACGACCTGGAAAGTTGGACAAAGCTAACCCCCAAGTGTCTGGTCCTCTAACCATGGACAGAAACACATACTGTACACTCTCTTATAGATATAGATTGATTGTTTGCATTATTTTCGTGTCTGTGTTTCATTTAAAAAAGTCGGCATAAGATGATCTTCATCTTTTTAAGAACATTGTGTGAGAACAAAGATAGTTCTCCATGATGAGCTTGTGAATTGTTTATTTCATAATTTATTTTGAAATGCTGAATGAGTATTTCAGTAATATGGGTAGAAAAGATGAACTACACACTTGTCTTGAGTTCTAATCTTGAATATCAACATTTAAAGATTTGCGATAAAATTATTGCTGTTTGTAATGAGAATTAAAGTTGTCACTGTGAGTTTGGGGGCATGTGTGGGTTGGTTTGATTTGAATATTTGATTTACGTATATTAAGAAAAGAATATTTGATTTAATCCTCACCGGAACCCGATTGATGTTCCAACTATTTTTCAATTAAGATCTTCTGGAACCGTCTAGATCCTTGAAAAATCCTGCACAAAGTCACGTAGACACATATGGACCCTTATGTAAATTGAATTTGACCAAATGGCCATTGTCATGTAGGATCTAGTTGATGTATTATACAATATAATGAATCCGATATGATTCTGATGTGATTGATGTAAAATATAGATATGATATAGAAATAATGATTCCTTAAATAATAATATAGATATAGTAGGTGGAATTTTCCACATCAGATACACAGCCTTGTCCATGACTAGTGAGGCTTTGAACAATCAATTATGGGCTCTCTGTACCTGAAAGAGTATAAATCCATCCTCATTTAGATCTTTTGTTTTAACCATTGATATACTGTACTGTACTTTGATTACTGTGTAATACAATTTTGTTTTCAATACTGTACTGTACATCTTATTGTTATTTACAGGTTAGCTCTAAGTGTAGTGTTAGATAACATCCCAAAATTGAAGAAGTCTGGACGGTGTGTACTTCATTCCATGGAGGGGGTGAGATGCCGGCCTGGTGGACGTTCGTGGCGAGATGTGTGGGAAGTGATGGATAGCACTTGCCGAGATACTGTAACTCTTGTCTGTGCCGACCATCTTTTGACCACGCTTGATAACTACCTCCGTAAACATCGATTCTGTCAGGAGTGCAAGAACAAGGTAAATGTCTCGAGTCACAATAACTTGGCTGCTACAAATAAGCCGATTCACACAGAAAATAAAATGAAAGTGACGATGTCTTGGTCACAACTTGGTGAGGGTCCAGGGTGAACCCAAACATCATCACAAATTTGCCATAGCCCTGTGTGTGTATTTACTATTTGTGCCTGCAGAAATGAGCAATTAGCTCTTGGACTCCTTTCAAACCAATCTCTTTTCCCCTATTATGACTATTACACATATTTCTCTAAATGTGCATGTGCATACATGTGCGCACTAATCCCCAGGAAGCAACCTGTAGCAGCTGTCTAACTCCCAGGTACCTATTTACTGCTAAGTGAACAAGGCCATTAGGTGAAAGAAACTGCCCATTGGTTTATTTGGCTTGACCATTGCTAATGTCCACAATGACTGCAGTGGCCAACCTTCTCGGTAACACTGAAAACTTGGGTAGAAATTGTCTTTTCTTTGGTTATGCAATAGAGGTAATTTCTTCTTGAATAATTCAGTGTTAACATTACAGCATTCCCCTGAAATGATTGTACTACTTATATTAACTATTTGGTTAAAAGTACCACCAGTAAACCACTTTTATAATCTGGAAAATATAAAGTTAAAAACTAAAATATTCCTAGGCCTAGTATAGCACATATATGTACTATATTAGGCCTAAGATAGCCTGCATTAGGAGAGCTATCTATATTATGCAATGCTATATTAGATAGCATTGCATTACTAACTTAACCTCCTAGGAGAAGTTAAATTAGGTGTTATATTTATGTTGCCATTAAAAATTTTCGTTTGTCTAAATTCAATAATTCAAATGTTAACTTTTTGGTGGTCCATCACTACATATTGGTACTTTCCACCAATTAGTTACTATAAATACTTTCATTTTAGGTGTATGGACTTAAATAACTTGACAGGGATGTGTGAAAATGTTGCTGTTACACCAATGCAAGATGTTGGGATGCCTAGTCTGTGTGTATATTGTCCATGGAAAGAGCAAAGAGCAGTACCCTGCCTATGGAAGCTACTAAGTGACTTTCACAGATATAGGTCTTTCATTTATACCTGACCTTAATAACATTTTGGAACAAATTCCAAAATGGCTGCATAGGATGTTTAACATCTTCACAGATGAGAGTATTTTCCTGCTCTGTGATGGTGGGAACTACGATTACCTTCATGACCGGATGAAAATCACAGTAATGTGATCGTTAAAAAAATTACCTTTTCAGTCTTGCAGCAAGTTTTTACAGATATTTTTGGTGTCTATTCTCAGATTTATTTTCATCTTGCCAGTGAATATTTTTTGTAATTTGATCATTTACATTGTAGGTTCATGGATTAGGAATTCTGCTGGTAATTTTAGTAATGTTTGCATTTTAGGTTCATAGAGCATTTGATATCCTTGTGGGGCACATTACCATAGATCTTGCTAAAGAAAAAGGATACGTTGCCTCGCTGTATGCTGGAATTCGTCGATGTGAAGCCAAGAGACACATTCACGTGCCTGCTGATACCGATTATATTACTCATATCATCACTAGAGCGGAGCCTGAACTTCAAGGCAGGTAAGAGATATCTAACAATTATATATACAGTACACACACTATATGTAGATCTTTCCAAGACTTGCTCAAAGATATCGTTTGTTGTCTTGTCTATTCCCATGACATTGTTGAACAATTAAATATATTGTTAGGGGAAGGGAGGTGGTATATTTGTGATATGAAGTAAGGGGGAAGCACTTTATGTAATGTAAAGGAAGGGAAATTAATGAATATACAGGGGTGAAATTCAAAGAGTGACATACGATGTAATTTACAAAAAATAAATAAAATAACTAAGATTCAATACATAAAATTTGTCACCCATAATTAAAATGAAAATATTAAACATTAAACTAAATAACTTCTGAATTGAAGGTTTTAAACAATCAATTTATATGCATATATTACATGTATTTTTGTTTAACATGTGAGTGAAATTAACATATACCTAAAATACAACAGTTCTGTACAAAGAGAGTAACGTCTGTGCTGCTGTGAGGTTAGCACCTCACAGCAGCTCTCGCCTCATGGTACCTCCTTCTGTCTTCTCGGGGCTTCTTTGAGAATTGGGGTAGTGGGGTGAGATGCCACATGCGACTGCAGGCAGCATCATTATGCTTATATAAACATAACTCCTCGGACAAACTCGCTCACGCTCTCTCTCTCTCTGTCTCTCTCTCTCTCATACACAACTTGTAAGAGTTAGACTACAATACTCGCTGACAATTAAATTAAAATAAAGTCAATTTGAAATTTATGTAAAATGCCAGTCATTACAGTATAGATTGTTTACATCTTGCCAAATATTTTATCATGAGGATTATGCAGTTTCATTTTGGTTTACCTTCATTATTAATTTGTATTTTTTTCTCGGTAGGCTATTGTATTTTTATTATCTCTAACCACCTTTTCATAAAATGCTTCTCTGTCCTTTCTTGGTGATTGGTTTTTTGCTCCTTAAAGCAGAGAAACTATGTACACTGTAATAAAAGCAACAATAGTCTTTGTTGTTAATTGTATTTTGTCTTACAAATTGTTGTGATATTCTTTGTTGTGTGGTGTTGCTGTCTTACCAAGTTTTTATTTTTATTTTATATTTAATACTTGTGCTTAATCTGTTTTAACATCTTTTAGTATATATATATATATATATATATATATATATATATATATATATATATATATATATATATATATATATATATATATAATTTTGTTGGGCACGGGCTACATTGCCATTTGGTACAGTTCCTGCAGTAATTTTTTAAGTTGGCCCATCTTCATTTGGATTGTTGTGTTGGTGAGATTCCTTAGACATTGGTCACTCTTCAAAACCACAAAGTTTTTCCTGAAGCTTTATATTTTGTATGAAAAAGAGCATTATATATATGTTGTTATATTTTTAATTTGCTCAGTTTGTCTTCTGAGAGGACTAAAAAAAGGTCCTGTGCATAGAATACAAGAGCTTTAATAACTTGTAAGTTTACAGCTCTATGCAGAACAGGTTAGTTACTGTACTGGAGAACTACCTCTCCTCGAACCAATTTGTAGGTCATAATATTACATGCACCATTATGTTGTCCATCTGTGTGTGTGTATGTTCATACATTATGTATGTATACTCAAGTCCTGTCTGTTGGTCTGTTTGAGTCTACTTAATATTTGGTCTCTTAAGTAATGAGGTTTTCTTCATCTATTTAACATTTGTGACTGATGCTTAAACTTGAGCAAAGGTTGTGACTGATGCTTAAACTTGAGCAAAGGCAAAGTTTGATATTGTTGTCAAGAGGCCAAAGATGATGATGATGCTACCATCTACAGAGCACAGGTTGTGACCATGTAGGCACATTATGCTGGTTGTCACACTCGCCACATTTGTCCTATCTTATTGTAGTAGTTTCTCCTTGGTTTGTTTCGTAATTTTGTTTTGCTTGTAGTTCTTTCTTGTATTAACTTGGAACATTGTTCTCCCATATATCTTGTCAAAGCCATTCACTATCTTTACTCCTCATCTAGAGGTAACTTTAGTTCTGTCTGAGAATTAAACACCAATCCCCTCCCAGGAACTTGATAGGTAATTCTTATTCTAATTGTGTGTTGCCCAGGCAGATGTTGAGCAGTTGCACTATCATAACACAGCCTGGTGTGCATTTTTGCCTCGATTCCAAACCACGTGACCTTAAAGTGGTCACTTGTGATGCCATCTCTCCTAACCAAGGAGTTACAATCACATGCTCTTCCTCATCCTCAACTGGTTTGACTTGTATATAATACTTAGATATAAGCATAGATACAAGTGTGTAATTTTTTAGTATGGAAATTGTGGAGAGATGTTTTAATTGCTAGAAAGTATTTTGCTAAGATACCTTGTCTTACTGAGGATGGCCTGAAGTCCTTGGTAAGCATTTAATACATCAAGAGGTCAATCTCTTTGGGAAAATTTTACATGCTAATTGAGTAGGGGTGTCGGCTGTGAAACATAATGTAGTTTGATGGATACAAACAAAAGTTAAGGAGAGAGAGATGGTAAGTAAAAAAACCTCATCTTAATCTAGGTGTTGTTGGGATGGAAAGTTTTGTGACACTCTTGGTTCATATCTTAAATTATTTACAGTTTCTATTAATATTTAATTTGTTTTATTCTAAACATTAGCATCATCAATAATTACCCTATTTTCTACTTGAGTAATAACATGAAAGGTTGTATTACAAACATTTCTAACATTATTTACATTACATGGATAAATAGACACCACACTCGAGCAACTCTGCACAGCAGAACTCCACTGCTTCATAAAACCAGGTGTACAGTACTCCTCACTAGTTGTCATGCACAACCTGAACAGTCACTCTCCTTAGAAACTATGTCCACCCAATCTAGTCTCGTACTGTATCACACACATTCTTCATACTCAATCACTGCTTCCCGACACATTCATTCGTCATATCTCACAATGTCTGCCAATCTTCTTTCTGACACACTCCTCCACCTACCCTCAAGCTCGCTCAAATACACTTATTATTCAAATTATATCAATCCTACATATATAATTATATCCTCATAATACCCAAACTACTATACACTCCTCGGACTTTTAGTTTGACCTTACACCCCACGTTTTTTTCACATTTTCATTCGTTGCACTATTGTTCACAAATTGCCACACATTATTTGTATAGTATCCATTTCTACTGCTATTTCTTGATTTTTCATATTCATAGTACACCATTGTTAAGAATTCCTACATAAATGAGAAAATTTGTAGGAGCTGTGATGAGGGGTTTGAACCTATGCGGTGGGTGTTCCCACTCTCACACCCTAGTCAACCAGGCCACGACATCACAGCTCCTACAGATTTTCTCATTGATGCAGTCATGTCAGTGTGACTATTCTCTGTGCATTCCTACATAAATATTGGGCTCCTCCACTCATCATATGACCCTCTGTCTTCATGTATTCCTATTCCATCATGTTTTGTTGAATCGGGGTTTCATTGCACTAATCACTTTCTTCCCTTAACTCACTTTACTTTTGAAGTTTTGCTTGCTCACATTCCTCTAGTATCAATCACAAATTTACAAACACTAAGAGAAATAAGCTGTGAGAACTTGCTTAAAGATCCAAGTATATTGACACTAGAAGAGAGATGAATGAGATAATTTAATCACAACATACAAAATACTGAGGGGATAAATTGGATAGTCAAGTCTTTTTCCAGGTGAGGGACAACAGAACGAGGGGGCACAGATGGAAGTTGGAAACACAGATGAGCCAGAGAAATGTAAGGAAATATTGGTATGCAGTGCAGGAGGTAAACAAGTGGAATGAATTTGAGCCAGAGTTGGTGGAAGCAAGCATCATTTATAGCTTCAAGAGCAAGTGTAGTACTGGAACGTTGGGATGTATAAATGCACAAGGTACAATAGTTATGAGGCAGGACTCTAGAGCTAGATCTCGCTCTTGGTAAATATAATTAGGTAAGCTTACTGCCCAGGTATTTAAAGTGATCGACCACCTCTAGCATTTCTCCATTAACATAGATTTAATACAAACTTACTTTATCCATGACCAAAACTATCGTTGTTCAAAGTCACTTTGTGGTCCAATTCATCAATAAGATGCATTATTATTGCATCTTTATGTTGGCTAATCTACATAATCTGCATCATTCTGTACTGAAGTGTATGATCTACATACATCAGATTTGACATACTGTATTGCAGTTATTAAAGCTATACGCTAGATATACATACAACCCTTCTCTTATGCTTTTACCTTGACCTCTCTAATGACACCATCCATATGTACTCTGAACAATCAAATTATCAACACAACTGACATAAAATCTACAGTAACAGAACTCTGTCAACTCTATACATGCTCATCACTCTCCATATTCCTTAATTTTAATGTTCTCATAAAAAGGATAATTTAAAAACCATTTTAATTTATACAGGTTACATTAATTACATTTTTTAATATATTGTTCCCATTGGTAATAATTTTGAATGTATCCTCAGACGTGAAAGACATGCTAAAACGTTAGAAATAGCACAAGAGGAGGTATTGACCTGCTTAGGACTGTTTTTGTATGAGCGACTTCAGCGAATCCATACTCGAATGCGTGAAGAGGAGCAGACATGGGATATTCTCTTTCACGTGGCTTTGGACACTCTCAAAAGAAACTTTGAGGTAAGCATGGGGTAGAAATAAATTGAATAAATGCAATCTTCATTTATTATGTGGTAGCTAGCACTGTGGCTGTATTAATGTATTTGTGCTGATGTAGAGAACTACATTCTGGATGGGTCATGAAACAATAAATTAAATAAATTTGAAAAAGTGTAAAAATGGGCAATATGAAATTAAGCCACATCACATATAGGGAGCTGCTGGATCCTGCACTATTTGTCAGTGGAGTGTTGTATACTTTAGTTTGTTCCATAGTGATGTAACCAATAGAATATCAAATGTTTTTTCAACTTAAGTCTATAGAGCCTTATATGAGGAGTATGAAAGATGAGTTTTTGGATTAAAAATATCCTGAGAACAGATTTTACTGTACACAAAATTCATGGTGGATCAATGAGTTGTTATATACAAGGTGGCAAAAAAACAACAATGTGAATGAGGGATGTCATTTTCAGTATTATCTTGCTTTTATTCTCAAAATGACAAATTTGCAGCCAAACACTGCATTGTATGAAAGTATGCCAAAATGAGTGACTTTGCAATGGGACCCCACTAAAACTGCACCCCTCTGCACTGCAGAGTTGCAGTGCACCCCACTATTCTATGCACCACTATGAGTTGGTATGCTTCCTCTGTTTAGGTTCATTAAATTGTGACGGCCTCAATTTCATGGACAATTGTTCCATTATATTTAGTTCAGTCTGGTTGCAAATTCTTTGCAGCAAATCAAAGTTTCCCTTAAATCAAGGCTTCACTGTATAGTATATGAACTCCATGAACATGTGTGTATATCCAAGATTAGTACGAACATTTTCTCAATTTTGTTTACGTCATTCTTAATCAGCTGTACGTGGAAGACAAACAAGGCTATTCAAAGTTTGAGATGCTTTGTGAGGAACTCCAGAGACAAGAACTCAGAGAAAAGGCCAAAAAGGAAAAGAAAAAGAAGAAAAAGAAGAGCAAGAAAAATGAGGAGGGGAAGGAGAACACTTGCCTTGTGAGTAACAATATTAGTATGAATGTGAGAGTTATGAAGAGACTTTTTGAGTGTTATGGGCAGGAACATTGAGTGCAGGAGTGAGGGGGGGGATGAGTTGCACCTCAGCTGTTCCTTACCCTTGGAGGATGAGTTACACCTCAGCACCTTACCCTTGGCGGATGAGTTGCACCTCAGCTGTTCCTTACCCTTGGCTGATGAGTTGCACCTCAGCTGTTCCTTACCCTTGGCGGATGAGTTGCACCTCAGCTGTTCCTTACCCTCGGCACAGAAACTATTTATTCTTTGGCAATATTTGATATCAATTCATCTGACTCGTTGCTAATAAAAATGCAAGTTAGTAATATTCAAGCTGATACATTTACATAATATAGGCAAGACAATGTAAGAGGCTTGCACTTGCAAGTTGTTTCCATTATGTGTTGTATGAATAATAAAGCTGTAAATATTCCAGTGATGGAAGTTAAGCGCTCCACTTAGTTTTGTTCATTTATTGTTCACCCTATACCCATTCTGTAGCACATAATGGAATTGAACCTCATAATTCATTTTGCTAAGCAAGTTAGTCTTCGAATTTGTATTTAGTATTTTAAAAACCTTGTTTTGTGCTTGAAATTCATTATATATATATTTTGAAAGTGTATTTTACTAAAAAGGTTTCTTGAGAGTGCATTTAGCTTAGCCACACAGGATTTATTCTAATACGTTACATTAGTTTCTGATATTAACCAATGGTAGGTGCATCGTGAAACTTTCTAAATATATTAGAATCGGCTTTTGTGTGTGTGTGTGTAATATAATATAATATAATATAATATAATATACACGTACGAGTCAAGATTTGTGAAAGCGTGAACTTTGCAGTGTGAGGAGGATGAAGGAGGATGCCGAGAGTGCGAACTCAACATGTCATCATCGACATGCTCAAGCCAACGTGCGACCCTCATTAATGCTACCAACAAACAGGTAATCCATTGAATTGATAAACATTTAGTATTTTTTAATTCTTCCCATTGTTCTGGTGATTTTTGACCAACTAGATCCCATGTGAACCCTTGAGTGGCATTGTTCTATTTATCTGTAGGATGCCACTAGTTCCATAATGCATAAATTAAATCCATGCTAAACTTTATAAAACTTGTGTAGTTTTTTTTTCACATACACATCTTGTATCAATGACATGTCTTTGTTGTGTGTTGTTCCACAATATTTATTTTGGTAGCAATTTAAAATTTGATATTTCTATTAGTGCTTACTAGAATAATAGTATTTGGATGACAGTTTGTAATTGGTATTTTTTTTCTAATTGCAACACTTCCCACAGGTTGGCAGTGAAGCCTTCTGTCGAGGAGGTTCTCATTTAGGGCCACCTATAAGTAGCCCTCATTTAGGTACTCTAGGAAATGGTCATATACCTCCTGATCAGACAGGAGTTATTCCAAGGTGCAGAAGTGAGTGTGGAAGTATGGAAGCTAGTGATATAGGTAGTGAACGCGGAAGCAGCGAGGAGAAGGAAAGCTGTGATTCTAGCCCAGACCCTTATCACCACCACCATCACCACCACCACCACCAGCTCGACCACCATCACATCCATCACCATCACCAGCACCGAAACTCTCCACACCCACTAGAGTGCACAGCTTCAACGGACTCTCTTGTGTCTAGATGCTCTCAGGTGGGTGCTGAGGTACAGTACAGTAACTGGATTTTGTGTAATTTTTTGGCCATATGATAATTGTTAAAAATCTGTGTGCTTAACCTTGCACTGTCATCAACTAAATGTTATATTGTATTTAAATATTTTGTTGTATTTACTGTCAGAAAAGTCACTGTACATTTAGAATAGTTTTACTAGAAAGCTAAAACACATTAGGGCATTATTTATGATCCAATAGGCAAAACATCAGGAAAAACAGGAAACGGATAATTCTATGCTGGCAGTATGCTTTGACATGAAAATTCACATATTGTTAAAGCTTTGTTTTGCAAAGTAGATAACCTTGGAATAGATTATAAGGTGCTTACCTATTAGTGTTTTTGGGTCTCGCCTCCTTGCATTTAGACCTGGGAACTGGGAAGTCTTAAGTCTCGCTTAACGACAAAGTTCTATCGTATTTGCCCTTGAAGTTATGGATGGAGGTAGCTTTCACTACTGATGCTTTCAGTGCATTATAGAAGACTTTGAATTTCTTTGAATCATTTTATTTCTTCTTCTATCTTCCAACAGTGTTGTTTTTCTCTATTTTCTCTGTTTAATGAGGCTGTTCTAATTCATCTTGTCTATTTCCTTTAGGTCATTGTTTCTGTTTAGTTTGTGTTAGGATCCATAAGTTTGTTTTGCATATCTAATTTTCTAGTAATGTGCCTAGTAATTTTTCAGTGGTTTCCTAGAGGTCTTTCATTTCATCCTGAAGTGTCTCGCCTCAGCATTATCCTTCCTTGTTTTTGTATGGTCACGTTTCAGTTCTTGTATTTTGTCTCTGCACTCATTGGTGGAACTGTTATGAGAGAGGGGGAACATTGTAAGTTTATTATTTTATTAATACAGTGCCGTGTAGCTGTGGTTCTGTTTCACGTTCTTCATGTGCAGTGCTCTTTCCTGTTCCTTTGCTCCCTATTCATTCTCTTGTCTGACAATCAATCTATTCCTCTATTCCTATGTGCGTTTTTTTTCTCCTTTAATGCTTTCGCTCCGCGAGAGCCAGCGCTCCACCTTTCCTAGTGATTTTGGACGTTCCATGGGAGCGCGCGGTAATACTGAAAAGTGTGTACTCTTTTTTTTTTCAATTTTGTCACCTTAATTCTCGTCCTAGGTTTTTCAATTTTGTATCAATGTGTTTGCAATAGAAAGCTCTACAGGACTAAAAGCATATACACTCCAAAAGCCCGACTTACCACCTGCAGCAAACGGAGAAAGTGAGAGCGAGTTACCCGGGAGCGCACAAGAGCGATAAAAGGTGTTTTCTTTCTTTTTCTTTGCTCTTTTCACTTTACTCACCTCAATTTTTGTCCTAGGTCTTTCATTTTGATATCAATGTGTTCGCAATAGAATTCTCTACGCAATTAAATACATATAAAGTCCGAAAGCCCAGTGTACCATCCACACAAAACAGAGTAAGTGAGAGCGAGTTACCCGGGAGCACTAATGAGCAATGAAATGTACACTCTTTCACTTTGGTCACCTCAATTCTCATACTAGGTCTTTCATTTTGGTATCATTGGGTTCGCAATAGAATTCCCTACAGAAGTGTATGCATATATAAAAGTCCAAAAGACCGGCATACCACCCACAGCAAACAGAGAAAGTGACAGCGCGTTACCCCCATGAGCGCTCATCAAGAGCAATAAAATGTGTTAACTCTTTTCAGCTTTGTTACCTCAATTCTCGTCCTGAGTCTTTCATTTTGGTATCGGTGTATTCTTAATGAAATTCCCTACAGGAGTATAGGCATATCAAAACAGCGGCGCGCCTCTCCTGCATCCAAGACGAAAGCAGGCCAATTTTTTTGTATTTTTGATGCCATACTTCGTCATGAATGGAAATAAAGTACTAAAATTTTGACTCCATACTTCGTCATGCGTGAGTGAAAGTGTTAATAATTTTATTTCCCTCATTTCAGGGATCACGAGATGGGGGTTACTGTTCGGCCCACGGCTCTGGGGGCTCGTCACGGGATTCCTCAGAAGTAGCATGTGGCGAGGGTCTCTGTTCCCACCATCATGATGATCATGTAGACGAAGGTCTCCATCCTCACCACCACAGCCACTCTGATGACCTTCCAGATGAAGACCAAGTGGACCACATGCATCCTCCCCTGTCTCCGTTACTCCCGCGCCTTCAGCCATTTACTCTGTCTCTACAGCAGATGTTGGATGTTAGTGTTAACACTCATCATGGGGTCAACTAGTTGTTCCCATGATTGTTTTTTGTTATATTAACCACTGGGATAATTGCGTGGTTCTGTAATACTTTGTTGTATCATAAATTGTATATATTTTCACTTAAAATTCTCCCTAGCTTTTGGAGAAAGTGAGAATGAGAGAAGAGAGATAATGAGAGAAGAGAAAGAGAATGAGAGAGAGTGAGAGAGAGAATTTGGATCTTTCCAAGTTTAAATGAATTTGCCATATATATATATCTTATTTATATACAGTATTAATAATATATAAATATATAAATAATATATAAATTTTCAGTAAATGTACAAAATACATTTCATTCATGGGGGAGAACATTGCACCATTTTCAGTTGGACTTAATTATTTTATTCAACTGTAGTTTATAAGTTCTGTTTACTTGTTAAACCTAAACATTTTGCTGGGTCTTGTATACTAAGTGGGTGAAGTTTACAATGCTGTATAATAGAGCACTTGTATTACTATACTGTTCATGCTTATTGGTTTATAAAATGTTGGGTTAGTGCCAATATATGACATAAAAAAGGATTAGTAAATGGATAGTTAAAAAAAAAAAAAGTTTAATACATGTAGAACACAGTATTGTAATATTAAGTTACAGTAATTCCTTTGATGATAATTTTTATCTCTGTTTTAGGACTCAAGGTGTGAAGATGAAGAAATTCCAGAGGCAGAAGTTCGTGCATGGCGTGCACGGTTGGGAATTGTGAAACAAAAACGAGCTGAGCTGCGTCAAACCCTGCGGCAGCGCTTTCAGCAGTTCTGTCACCGAGGTTGTGCAGTTGAATCTGGCTCTTCAGTCACTGGGCAAGGTCATCTTTGTCACCATCTTGTGCAATCTCCTCATAGTGGCCTTCCTGTGCAGCATGTTAATGGTACCAAACCTCGTTAAAGTCAGTTGGAACTTGTCTAAGAAAAGGCTGATTTTTATTCGTATTGTTGAAGTGGGTGTTATTTTAAATGATGTGGAAAACTAAATGGCTTTCATGCAAATTTATGAAATTGGTCATTAGGTTTGTCTAAGGCTCAACATCTTTGGTTATGTGTTAATAAAAGAAATTGATGCAAAATCTGAGCGAATAGAAGAATCTAGTAATGATTAAATATTTAATGTTGTGACAGTCATAGTATTGCATATTACGGCTTCATCGCCATTTGTGGTTAAAGACAACCAACCAAAGTTGCCATAAACTTTAACTGATTTTTTAACGAGTTGACATCGGAAATGTTCTTAAGAAATCTGGAATAGTTAATGTGTTTAACAAAATTCAGAGCAAAAGTAGTAAAATACCGCATCTCTTGAGTTGTTTTCTTTAGCATTTTGTGCTAAACAGCAAAATTGTCTTCAGTAATCCCATCATTTAGAGTGGCTTTATTTGCGATCACGTTAGCATTGGAACTGTCAAGCTGACAAAGGCATTACACAAGTCACAATATTTCTACTGCAAGTGTCTTGGGGTTTATTGTGAGATGAACCACAGCACATAAGATTTGTTTGCTCTTGCTAGTTCAGGCCTACATGGAGATATTTTCTATTGTGAAAAATTCAATATTACCTACAGTACGAGTGAGATAATTCAGCATAAAGATGAATTATCCTCAAACATTCCTTCTCTAATATAGCGTATGGCTATAGATACGTGCATGGAATTTTAGTGCATTTTATGGGGTTCATTTGAGAGCTTTTTATGGAAATTTTTTCAGGAACTGTACTAGATAATGTATTAATTCATGTGATAATTGAGAGACTAGAGGTGAAGGAAATTATGTTTATTTGGTTAGACTGAGGTGAAGAGCAGCTAGACTGTTATTTCCATTTCTTCCAGTCTGTTATAATGGCAGTGCCGTTATTATGTATGTAAATGATGATGGCTGCACCTCAATGTTCTGTGCAAGATGGCCTTCTAATTATCCTCTGCACTAAAATCCCTTTTTTATGTCTTCTATATTTTCCTATTGTTCTGTCAGTTTATATCAGAGATAAGATTTTGAGGTATAGTACATAAAAGTTTATGTTCCCTCAAAATGAGAGGCAATATGAAGCAAAACATTCAGTATGATTTCTAAAAAAAAAAATTGTGATCATGAGCTTTAAGAATTTAAAGCTCATTATATATATTATATCACTAAATGCATTAGAGTAACACTACCAGCTATGGTTATACATAGCTGATGATTTATCTGGTGTAGGACAGAAAAGATGGAACAACATTCCTGCCTTGTACTAAATAATGGTTTGAGAGCAAGGAGGTTATCAAGATACCAGATACCCACCCGTTATAAATATTCCATACTTGGGAATAAAATAAACACATGGCTGTGTTGAAGTATGGGATGTCATAACAGACGTGAGAGGTTAGGTGTTGGGACAAAGAAATATGAATATATAAAATAGATATGCTGTTGTTAAAAAGATAGTTTCATTTACCTGTATATACGTGTGTAAAACTTATTATTGAATATTACTGCTAATACTGTTACTTCTTCTATGACCTCCAAAAGAACTACAACGTTGTTCATAACAGGGCTGTGACATTCTTAGCTTGTAAACTTTTTAATAAATGTAAATAAAGCAACTATATGGAAGATTTACATATTTCATAACTGATTCCCTAAGTGCTTGGGGAATCCTTGTCCTGATTTGGATTTTCAAATCTAATTTTGGATACCATTGCTTCTTCCCACTCCGGAATCTGTCGGTCCGCCTGTAGTCCATCCTACTGCTCCCGTGGCTCCAGCGTCCTTGCTAGATTTACCTATGCCCCATAACCCCCAATTTCATTGATCCTGATTCTAATCTATCTTACTATACTGTGTTCTTCTTTGCCTTTGTTTCTCCCTTGTTCTCTGTTTCTGTTCTCTCTAGTTTGACAATGTCTGTTTATCAATAGTATATGCGTGAATTTTATGCCAACTTCCATGAAAAACAACTTCTGATCACACAGTTTTCACCGCTTTGTGTCAGTTTCCAGGAGTCGGTGCTTTGCGCTCGTCCTGGTCATTTCCGCAGTTATTCCTTTTGCTGGGGCTCATAACATTACTGCTCTCTTGATTCGTACTGATATTCTCTTTGTCCCCCTACTTTTTCAGTCTCGCATTGTGTTCTGCGGCCCATATCTTTGTGAGTAAATGGTACACAGTCTTTAACATTTATCTTTCTCCCAGTGTCCCACTTTCTCTTCCCAATCTTAAACACCTGTTGGATTCCTTACTTGGTGCTACATAGCCTTCCTTGCTTGGTACCTTCTTTTTATAATTAGTTGCTTGCTTTTGGATACTATACAGTACTTAAGTTAATTAAAACATGTTTCAGCATAGGCATACTATTAATATTTATATAATAGTGTGTATATAAATACCTATTATGCATAAACAAAATACACATTAATTTGGACTTTGACTTTTTCAACTTTTTTATAGCACAAGCTGGTCTTGATAGTCCACAGCCACAAAAATGCAGTTTTTGTAATGTCTCGTGCTGTCTGTTGAACTAATACAGACATCCTTATTTCATCTCGAACTCCTCGAACTTCATCTAGAACTCCTCGGTGACCAAGTTTTGTAGCATTCTTTGACCTACAAAGTGAATTTGTAGGTCAAACAAACTGTGCTGCCACAAGCCACCAAGTTACAATGCTACATAAATTTTAATTATCAAAAGGAGCCAAGTAGAGAGACTAGATAAATCAATAATATCATCATCCATATCCTTAAGCTTAGGTGTAACTTTTCACTTTCTTTTTCTACAACTGCTCTATTTTTATACTTCTATTTACATAAATTAATGTCAGAATAAAGACAGACAGACGATAATGTGACCATATTTCAAGGTGAATATCTCTTAAATGAAAGCAACGATATGGTTAAATAAATAGCCAATGCCACACCATCGCCGGTGTCCGGACATGAAAAGTACCTATGCATCAATGTTCAGCCAGGTGGGCAATACAGACTTCACTATTCCGATAAATTATGTAATTCAAGAGATGCGTTGATAAACGTTAAAGTTTTATATTTTATTGAAAATACAAATATAAACAATGTTTTCAAACGTTTAATGTAACAATATTTCAAGTATAAGAACCAAGATATATTTAGGATTTAACAATTATCTATAAAGTTGCAATGATAACTTAATTGCAAATAATCATCGTCATAGACAGACAGACAAGTAATTATCAAAAGAAGACACCAAACCGGGAAGGCTATGTAGCACAGACAGACAGAAATTAACTTATAAAGTTGTTGTCACATTAATACACAAAACAGCAGTAAAGATATACGTATGTTAATTATGACGCAGGATAGCTCTTAAGAATTTATAAACCATAACATTATAATTAAATTTAGTTCATTGTGTAGGGGGACAGGAAGCCACAGTGTATTCATACACGCTAGGATTTTATCAAGGTCATCCCTAAGGTGGAATTACTGACCCCGCCCAGGATGCAACCCCACAACAAACTGACTAACTTCTCCGTACCTACTTACTGCTAGGTGAAAGGAAATATACACAACCACTAATGTCCCGCCCAGGATTCGAACCCGGAATTCTTGATTGTTCGTCAAAAGGTCCCAAAGGGGCACTTGGTATACTCGCTACACAATCACAAACACTATATTCAAGTTCAAGTATGTTTATTGAGACAAGAAAAAATACATCTCAAAGGGATAGAGTAGCTTAGGCTATTTCTATCCCCCCCTCTACTTCAAGTCCCTCAAGGGTGCAATTCAGTGAGTACAAATACACAAATCACAGTACAATTAAGAATCCCATTTAACATTGCAGGTTAATACAGTAAGCACCGCATATAAGTGTTACACTCTTGGGGCAAAATTCTTGTAGCTCCTAAGTATTTTGTCTATCATACCATTATCACACAAACACTATAGGTGAGCACATGTGGAGGTGCTCCGCTGGAACCCCCAAAGTCTTACGATATTTAATCCCATAATTTATGTTTACCTATTATAATTGTAATTAGCTTTGTAAATGCATTAGTGTAAATTTAAATAAAGGAACATGTAATTAGTTATTATTTGTAGTGGAATTATTAAATCTGATAGATTTAATAAATTATATTATTACTATTATAATTATTGTGATAATTGTTAATATTATAAAAATGCTATTATTAGTATAATTATTATTTCTATTATTAAAGAAATAAATAAGCCACCCCCAATCCATGCACGCGTTTTCTTCCACACACAGAACAGTTGTGACCAGCCGGCGGTCTTGTGCAGTCGCAGTGTAAGCGCTCGTGGATATTGTGAAATTGTGCTCAACTCTTACAGTTATACAGTGCATTTGCGTGTTGGGGAAATGGCAGAGGCGGTCTGCCTCAGTGATAGACAGTCGTGCACGAGGACGGATGATTTTCAAGAACAAGGTGATAACAGGCCGTACCACGTTGCAAAGGTAACGTACGATTATATTACGTTGTTGAGTAGATTAGATACACAGTATTTAGTGGGTTTTCATATTTATTTAGTAGTCTTGGATAAAGCAGTGTCGTGGACGTTGAGACGGAGCTTGGAGCAGAGCAGAGAGCTGAGTGAGGCCGGATTGATTGATTAATGAAGATTAAACCACCCAAAAGGTGGCACGAGCATGAATAGCCCGTAAGTGGTGGCCCTTTTGAGCCATTACCAGTATCAAGAGCTGATACTGGAGATCTGTGGAGGTGCGACTGCACCCTGCGTGGCGGGAGATGTCTCCCGTGGTTGTCTATTCGATTGATTGATGAAGATTAAGCCACCCAAAAGGTGGCACGGGCATGAATAGCCCGTAAGTGGTGGCCCTTTTGAGCCATTACCAGTATCAAGAGCTGATACTGGAGATCTGTGGAGGTGCGAATGCACCCTGCATGGCGGGAGATGTCTCCCTTGTGAATGTGATGTCTCCCGTGGGCTTACAAGATTGATTGATGAAGATGAAGCCACCCAAAAGGTGGCACGGGCATGAATAGCTCGTAAGTGGTGGCCCTTTTGAGCCATCACCAGTATCAATAGATGATACTGGAGATCTGTGGAGGTGCGACTGCACCCTGCGTGACGGAAGATGTCTTCCGTGATTTAAACAGATTGAATTGATTGATGAAGATGAAGCCACCTAAAAGGTGGCACGGGCATGAATAGCTCGTAAGTGGTGGTTGTCTATTCTCATATCGCTTCCTTATATTTGATGACTGCATCTCACCTTTCTCCACGGTGAAAGGTGAAAGTTCGTCCCATCTTGTTGCAATTGTCGAGGCAGCCACAATGCTGGTTCCTATCTGTGCCGCATGAAGCCTCATCTGAGTGACTCCAGGACGGATCATACAAACTGGCAGTTGCTAGGCTGTGTGGGGAGAAGAGAAAAGAAATTAGGAGCAAGTATTGGCAGGTGTTTGCGAGAAAGTTAGGAGTAACAGAAACTTGAAGGTAATCTGCCAAGACGTAAATAAAGTAAGGGGTAAAATGCATAATTTTGTTGCACATCCAGACCCGCAAGGAATTGCAAATGGTCTGGTAAATAAATGGGCGGAAGCTGCCAAACTTAATTCATTACCCGCTGTAACGAGAGAGTCATTAGATTCTTGGAAATATCTAAGAAAGGATTTTAAACTTACAGCAGGTAACAGTGGTGATGTCACTTGCACAGGTATTACCAGAGGGGGTAGAAATAGCCTAAGCTACTCTATCCCTTTGAGATGTATTTCTTGCTTATCTCAATAAACATACTTGAACTTGAACTTGATATTACCAGAGAAGAACTAATAACGGCGATTAAAGTTGGGAAATCTACCGCTCCTGGGGAGGATGGAGTAACTTATGAAATACTTAATGAACTTGCCATTATGAAGAAAAGCCTACTGTTAGACCTCTTTAATATTAATTATAAAGAGGGCAGTATTCCCAGTAAATGGAAAAAAAGCTATCATTCCTATCCCTAAAGCCAATGGCGAGTACAGACCTGTGTCCTTAACTTCGTGTTTTTTGTAAAATGATGGAGAGGTTCATTTTAAATAGACTTTTATATATAATAGGTGATCAACTGTCTAGTAATTTGTTCGGGTTCCTCAGAGGCAAAAGTACATCTGACTGTATTGTTAAATGTCTAGCTAATGATAATGATTGTTATAAAATATTTATTGATTTACAATGAGCTTTTGATAAAGCCAACAAAGAGGTTATTTTATATGAATTGGCTGGTCTTGGTGTTAAAGGGAGATTATTGCGCTGGATAGGGGATTATCTTTACGAAAGGAAGGCTCAGGTGTGGTATCAAGGTTGTATGTCAGGTGTGAGATCCATTGAACTCTGCACACCTCAGGGAGGAGTGTTGAGTCCCACCCTGTTTAATGTACTAATAAATAAGATAGCATCTGAGAGATACTCAAATGGGGTAACTCCGATCATATATACCGATGATATTTTGTTCCAGGGCAAAGATATTTCAAAGGTTCAAACGGTGTTGGATAATTTCGGTAACTTGTGTCACCATATGGGACTGGTGGTTAATGAAAACAAAACTAAGTTTGAATGTAGAAGTCGGAGGCCCATTATATTGAAAATAATCGGTAAAAATATAAAGAGAGTTAATATATATATATATATATATATATATATATATATATATATATATATATATATATATATATATATATATATATATATATATATATATATATATATATATATATATATATATATGTATGTATATATATATATATATGTATATATATATATATATATATACTTTCCTCAGAAAGTATTCTGAGGAAACTACTCCAAGCTTGTACTAAAGAGGCACCCTTCTTGAGCCCGGATGGGCATATGTATAAGCAAGTAGATGGGGTCGCTATGGGTTCTCCCCTAGGTGTCCTGTTTGCAAACTTCTACATGGGTACCATCGAGCAAAAAGTCTTAGTCGACATGAACTTGAAACCGGCCATATACTGCAGGTATGTTGACGACATTTTTACACAGGTACCTGATGTCAGACATCTGCAGGAGCTGAAGGAGGCATTTGAGCAGAGTTCCGTGCTGCGTTTCACTTACGAGACGGAAAAGGATGGGAAGCTGCCTTTTCTAGATGTAGCAGTCATGGAAAAGGGCGGAGGTTTCCACACTGCAGTCTACACAAAGGAAACAAACATAGGAATGTGCCTAAATGCCAACAGCGACTGCCCTGACAGGTACAAGAGGAGTGTTGTTAACGCATACGTCGACCGTGCTCTCAGCCACAGCTCAGAATGGAAGCAAGTCGACGAAGAACTCTGTAGGGTAAGGCAGGTTCTAGTCAATAACGGCTTCTCCAATGGTTTCATCGAAGACATCATAAGAAGGAAAGTGAAAAGCCATGCAACCTCCGAAGAGACAACTAACACAACACCTATACCCCCTATTAGACTATTTTACAGGAACTTCTTTTCCACAGCTCATAAAACAGAGGAAAGGGTCCTGAAAGATATTGTTAATAGAAACGTTATCCCTACAGACAAAAATCAGAGGATACAACTGACGATTTACTATAAAACCAGAAAAACGGCCAGCCTACTCATGAGAAACTCTCCAGACACGAAACAGAACGCTTTAAAAGAGACTAACGTCGTCTATGCCTTCAAATGCCCACTTGGGGACTGTAAGCTCCAAAAAACCCAGTATATAGGCAAGACAACAACATCTCTTTCTAGGCGTTTAACGATGCATAAACAACAGGGCTCCATTAAGGAACATATAATCTCTTCCCATAACCAAACCATCGCCAGAGAAATCCTAGTAAACAACACAGAAATCATCGATAGATACAGCGATAGCAGGCGGCTTGACGTTTGCGAGGCACTACACATCAAGAAGTCAACACCAGCAATCAACAGCCAATTATTGCACCACTATATTCTACCCACCTCAAGACTCCGCTCCAATATAGAAGCATCAAGAAATATGGACCAATAGGCTTTCTACAAACACTTCTATTCAATATCCATTGTTTCGTGTTCTGTCTTGTGTTGATACTTTTAATACCCTATTAATATCCTCTAATGCCACATCATCCTTCCTACCTCACTCAAATGTAATGCCACATCACCCTTCCCACCTCACTCAAATGTAGATATAAAATCAGGGAAACGCAAGTTCTAATCAGTTGTGTATTTGTGAAGTCTTTGAAAATGTAATAAGTTTTACGAAACGCGCCCGTGTCGCGTCAGACTAGAAATAAAAATGAATTTTGGAGAAGTGATTTTTGATTTACCTCCAACAGTGAAGCATAATGTACGAAAGATTGAGAAAATTCGTGTTAGAATTATTAATCTTACTTTTTCGGTCATATTTAATAAAATATGTCTACAGGAAAGACTGCTACCAAAATATACTAATATATATATATATATATATATATATATATATATATATATATATATATATATATATATATATATATATATATATATAAATATTTAGACATATATGTTGCATATACCCATGAGAGTTTGGAAGCTGAGATGAACAGACTGTTGGGTCAATGTCGGAAGAGAATACAACTTCTGAAGGCCTTGGCATGCTGTGGAAAGGGAGTGGGAGTCCCTGTGCTACGAATGATATACTTGATTACTGTAAGATCTCTTATTGATTATGCTGCACCTGTCATTTCTTGTTTTGGTAAAGGTAGGATGGGCAAGTTGGAGAAGGTACAAAATGAAGCCATGAGAATTATCTTAGGATGCCCAAGAAATGCTATGATTGAGATAATGAGGATGGAGTTGAATCAGAAGAGTATTGGGGATAGAATTTTAGAGATAAACGTAGCCTCTGCCATTAGATTAATGAGAGGTGGGGGAGCTAATAAATTAATCCTCTCGGTTCAAAAGGTGGGAAGTAATGAACAATGTATGATAAAGAAGAGAGCATATATGAGTACCTTATGTTCTAATGTTATAAAGTATGATGTTATTACAGAGTGTATTGCTCTGCCTAAGAGACGATTCACACCACCATGGGAGGATTGTAATATAGATGTAGTAATTATTCCCTTGCAAAAGAAAAAATATGTATGAAATAGGAGAGCTGAGGGCAACATATAATTGTATAATTAGAAAATTACCTACAGAAAACACTCTACATTGATATTGTGATGACTCAGTAGCTAAGGATGGGAAGGCAGGATGTGGAGTCTTGATCAGGGAGTATACTGACATCGGCACTTTAGATACTGTTATTGGACGCCGCTTAACTGACAATGTCTCTTCAACGCAGGCTGAACTCCAAGGTGTATTAGCAGGATTACAGGAAGTAGTCAACTGTGGTAAAAATGCCTGCTTCTTTATTGACAGTAGAGGAGCATTAGAGTCTTTAAATAGCAGACACCCAGTTTACCAGAATATTGTGATAGAGTGTAGAGAGAATGTTAAGACATTAGAAAAAACTGGGTATAAAGTAAGATTCATGTGGATCCCTTCACATGTGGGAATACTGTTGAATGAGGTAGTTGATGAGATAGCGAAGAGAGCCATGGAAAAAACTCTTGTTGATGTTGTATGTCAGTTAACCTTGAAACAAATAAGAACAAGAATCAAGATGATCCAAGAGGGTGAAGAAATGATAAAGAGAATGGCAATGGTGGACAGTAGTAACACACTTAAGAATTATTCAATAATAAATACAAACTCGTCCTTCACCTATGGTAGAGGAAAGTCTACTTGGAAGGATTCAATTTACATGAGATTAAGAGTAGGATACAAATATATCTGGCAATACGGTGTTGATGTCAGTGAAAAAAGATAAGGAGTGTAAATTATGTAGTATGCAGCACGCCCACACCTTAGAACATTATGTATTAGAGTGTCAACTTATTGATAACTATAGAAATAAGGAAATAAGTAGTGTACATCAAATTGTTTGGATATGTGATAATGGTATGATAGACAGTATACTTAGGAGCTACAAGAATTTTGCCCCAAGAGTGTAACATTTATACGCTGCGCTTACTATATTAACCTGCAATGTTAAATGGGATTCTTGTAATGTTATTTGTGTTTTTTGTACTCACTGAATTGCACCCTTGAGGGACTTGAAGTAGAGGAGGATAGAAATAGCCTAAGCTACTCTATCCCTTTGAGATGTATTTTTTTGCTTGTCTCAATAAACATACTTGAACTTGAACATACACAGAAAATGATATGTTCTATAAATCATTATCATGAGAAAATCGGAAACATACAATATATTTTCTAATATTTGTCTTTAAAGTATTAATTTGGAAACAGAGGTGTATTTTAGTTACCCTAATATAGAGCACGAATATACTCGTCCTGTGAGTGGTAGTTCATCGTTGATGATGACAACTCGTCCTCTGCGCGGTAATTTATTGTGCAACCCCTACTCATCCTGTTTCCTTTAGTTTGTGCAACACATACTCATCATCAAGAAGTGTATGTTACCTAAATGGTAATATAGATTCAGAATAAAGGCTTAACTGGATTACGGACCCATAATCAAAATAAGAGTCATCACTAATTATCACGACAAATGGCCTAGGCCCCTCCCACTTCAGCCATTAACAAGTCTGAGGTGGGTAATTTATTGTACACCTTCGCACCCGCCCCCTCCTGTTAATAGTAATACTAATAATAATAATAATAATAATTAAATAATAATATTATTAATAATAATGAAAAAAAACTTACTGTAGTGCCGTAATGTTTGAATGAAGGAAAAGGACCCAATAAACGGCAAGAGAATGACTTTTAAAGAAGATAAATTTCCGAAACGTGGTAGTTTATTTGTGTTAGTGGTTTTGCAAGAATGTAGATTCATCAATGCTATGTACTTTAATGAACCTAATGTACCTTTTTGTATATATACATATATATATAGATAAATAAATACATAAATTAAGGAGATGGCGTGTCGGAGGTTTGAATTTGGCGGGGTTGAGGTGGTGTGTGTGTGTGTAGCCCCCAGTGGTTCCCTCAGTGTGTCGTCAGACCTGTCAGGTGGCGGCAGTCCTTTGTCGACCTCTGTTGACGCCTCACCCATTGGCGTCCCTCCTTACTGGATATTTTCAAGCTTAAGGTGAGTTAATGGCCACCATCTGGTCACCACTTGGTCCGGGAGACATCTCCCGTCACGCAGGGTGCAGTCGCGCCTCCACAGATCTCCAGTATACTGGTAATGGCTCAAAAAGGGCCACCACTTACGGGTTATTCATGCCCGTGCCACCTCTTGGGTGGCTTAATCTTCATCAATCAATCAATCAATCGAGTTAATGGCATGTTAACTCACTAGGCAATCGCGGAGTGTTTGCCCTGTCGGCGGGGGTTGCTGCGTCGCCGAGGGTCGCTGCGTCGCCGAGGGTCGCTGCGTCGCCGAGGGTCGCTGCGTCGCCGAGGGTCGCTGCGTCGCCGAGGGTCGCTGCGTCGGCGAGGGTCGCTGCGTCGGCGGGGGTCGCTGCGTCGGCGGGGGTCGCTGCGTCGGCGGGGGTTGCTGCGTCGGCGGGGGTTGCTGCGTCGGCGGGGGTTGCTGCGTCGGCGGGGGTCGCTGCGTCGGCGGGGGTCGCTGCGTCGGCGGGGGTCGCTGCGTCGGCGGGGGTCGCTGCGTCGGCGGGGGTCGCTGCGTCGGCGGGGGTCGCTGCGTCGGCGGGGGTCGCTGCGTCGGCGGGGGTCGCTGCGTCGGTGAGGGTCGCTGCGTCGGCGAGGGTTGCTGCGTCGCCGGGGGTTGCTGCGTCGCCGGGGGTTGCTGCGTCACCGGGGGTTGCTGCGTCGCCGGGGGTTGCTGCGTCGCCGGGGGTTGCTGCGTCGCCGAGGGTTGCTGCGTCGCCGAGGGTCGCTGCGTCGCCGAGGGTCGCTGCGTCGCCGAGGGTCGCTGCGTCGCCGGGGGTCGCTGCGTCGCCGAGGGTCGCTGCGTCGCCGGGGGTCGCTGCGTCGCCGGGGGTCGCTGCGTCGCCGAGGGTCGCGCGTGTCGCCGGGGGTCGCGCGTGTCGCCGGGGGTCGCGCGTGTCGCCGGGGGTCGCGCGTGTCGCCGGGGGTCGCGCGTGTCGCCGGGGGTCGCGCGTGTCGCCGGGGGTCGCGCGTGTCGCCGGGGGTCGCGCGTGTCGCCGGGGGTCGCGCGTGTCGCCGGGGGTCGCTGCTTCGCCGAGGGTCGCTGCGTCGCCGGGGGTCGCTGCTTCGCCGAGGGTCGCTGCGTCGCCGGGGGGGTGCTGCGTCGCCGAGGGTTGCTGCGTCGCCGAGGGTTGCTGCGTCGTCGAGGGTTGCTGCGTCGCCGAGGGTCGCTGCGTCGCCGGGGGTTGCTGCGTCGCCGGGGGTTGCTGCGTCGCCGAGGGTTGCTGCGTCGCCGAGGGTTGCTGCGTCGCCGAGGGTCGCTGCGTCGCCGAGGGTCGCTGCGTCGCCGAGGGTCGCTGCGTCGCCGGGGGTCGCTGCGTCGCCGGGGGTCGCTGCGTCGCCGAGGGTTGCTGCGTCGCCGAGGGTCGCTGCGTCGCCGAGGGTCGCTGCGTCGCCGGGGGTCGCTGCGTCGCCGGGGGTCGCTGCGTCGCCGGGGGTCGCGCGTGTCGCCGGGGGTCGCGCGTGTCGCCGGGGGTCGCGCGTGTCGCCGGGGGTCGCGCGTGTCGCCGGGGGTCGCGCGTGTCGCCGGGGGTCGCGCGTGTCGACGGGGGTTGCTGCGTCGCCGAGGGTCGCTGCGTCGCCGGGGGTTGTCCTGTCCGCGAGGGTCTGCCTTCAAAATCTGTTTCTATTGTTTTAGGACGACTTCGGGGCCCTCCACGCTGCTGTACAAGACACCACTCAGCTCTGCTGCCTTCCCTGCCCCGAGGACGACGACAGGCTGCCCCGAGGACGACACTGGTAAGTAGGCCTTGGTGACGACGGACTGCCGCTCCCTCACCCGCCCCTTATGGCCTCCGATGGGACGGACTCTAGTGATGATGTCTATACCCTGAAGTCGACCTTGGCGAGTCGGCCTCGATGAGGAGGGATCCCCGCTCCCTCACCTGCCCTGGGGATGCCGGTTCCTGTAAGGGCAGACCCCAACGACGCCATCTGCCACGACGCCAACCTGGGGCTTAAAAATATAAAAAGAATTGAATATATGATATGCCTTAGATTTGTTTAAATTACACAGAGAGGGGGGGAGGGGGGGAGATTTATAATCAGTATTTATCATGCTCTTCATAATCGTAATCATCGTTTTCTGCACCATCTTCCTATTTTTATGCCTCATTATCCTCTTTCTTCATCTTCAACATCGTCTTCCTCTCTTATCATATCATAAGGGGACACAAACTATAATAATAATAATAATAATAATAATAATTTTTATTTAGGTAAAGGTACATACATAAAGAGATTTTACAAAGTTTATTGGCTTTCTAGATAGAGCTAGTACATACAATGCCTAAAGCCACTATTACGCAAAGCGTTTCGGGCAGGACTAGTACTGACCTAGTACACTAGTACAGACTAATACAGGACTAGTACAGAACTACTAGTAACAGGATGAGTATGGGTTGCACAATAAACTACAGGGTAGCGGACGAGTATGGGGTTCACGTAAACAAAGACTCGCAGTCCAGATGAATGGAATGTTTATTTACACGGAAGTGTAGATGGCAGTTTATATCATATATACTTAGTGGGGGTCCCAGTAGTACAGTTGTGTACATTCTCGACGCACAATCGAGAATAACAGGTTCGAACCCTGGACGGGATAAATGGTCAAGTACATTTCCTTTCACCTAATGCGACTGTTCACCTAGCAGTGAGTAGGTACTCGGTCAGCTTGTTTTGGAGTTGCATTCTTGGCGGGGTCAGTAATTCGACCTTAGGGATGACCTCTATAAAACCCTAACGTGTATAAGGCCTTGACACTCCCTGAGTTAGTCATCAACTATAAAAAGGCAGCGTCACTTTCACTTCAGTTATATTTATACCAAAGTATTAACATGCAGCTTATATTTCTGCCTGTATCATAACATAGGGAACTTTAATTTAATCTAGATACTGTAGTAAACATTAATCTTCGGAAGGTCGTAGTTCCCATCGATAGGGAAAGGTCCGCCGAGAAACCTCGTTTAAAATGTGAATGTCTTTTCTGTGATGGATTCACAAAAACTTTTATCTCTGCCTTTTTGACAACATATAGAAATAAAAGCTTTATTTGTGAATCTGTATAGATTAAGCAATATATCGGAGCGTGTAAAGTTCGGTGTTCTATGAGTTAGAAGTTGTGTTAGTGGTTAGTGGTGTAGTGGTTAATCGCTCGCCTGGCGTTTAACGAGCGCTTTGTCCTGGGTTCGTATCCTGGCCGGGGAGGATTTGCAAATCCTTAACTGTAGCCTCTGTTTAACTCGACAGTAAAATGGGTACCTGGTTGTTAAACTATTTTTCGCAAAGTCGTATTACATGGAACATAAGGACTTAATCCTATGGATTAAGTAAAGGATTATATCCTTAATCCTTTCGTAGCCCGAAACGCTACGCGTACTAGTGGCTGTACAAGAATGCAAGAACTCTTGTATAAATAAATAAAAAATAAATTAGCGAAAAGGTAGCCCGCTCCTGCACAAGACAGCACATATATGACTTCTTTATAAGCCAAATATTAACTATAAGCAATAAATATATACGAGATATATTTAAGTTATATATTTTCAAGGCGCTAGCTCTTCCTCTGTTTTATTAAACAATAAAGATTTTATACAAAATTAAACAATATCCTGAGTTACTTTACAATTTATTTAAATTGACTATAAGCAAATGAGAGGACAAGAGTCGTTTAAGTAGCGAACGCATACCAACGGATAACGTTAGTATCTATATAACAAAATTATTGTCCTGTGGAGTTGATTTAACTTCCAGACAACTTTTTTTAATAAATATTAATTATTTTGTGGTTATTTATGAAAGATATTATAAACAGGCATTGTACTTGATAATATCGCCAATTAAATTTAAGCCAAGAAGTGAGGCTGACATGCCAGCAAACACGCCTGGCGATCATATATCCTATGGCGTCACCTGTTACATATTTATTTATAATTTTGTTATGAAATTAGATTATTTCATAGTAAAAATAGGTTTGATCATGTTCTGCATTCAGCACTAACATTATAGTGAGGAAATATACCATATTTATTCATTACTTACGTAATGCTAGCAGGATTTGGGCAATTTTATGGACCCCCCTTCTGGAGGTCATCAGGAAAAATAGGGGGACCTTTCACAAGCCAAAATTTGCTTACTGTAAGTAATGCATGCACATGACTATAAAGCTGCCGCCCAGTTGGGTGGGTGTGCAGTAAGACTAGTAACTGTGTGACTCAACACAGATGTAAAGTGCCTTGTATAGTGACTGTTGCGAGTCTCTTGTTGAATCACTTGTGACACAAAAGATTATTGATGTGTGTATTTGTATGGGTGATTAAATATGTATGTGTATGTATACGTATGTACATGTATGCATGAGTATGTGTACATACATGTATATATAACATTAATAATTGTATAACTAGCGTCAAAAGATTGTTATTTGCTTAGCTAAACGAACTAGAGGGCTCAGTTCCTGAACCGATTATGTGCCTCTGTAATCTTTACACCACCGCCCACGGGATGGGTATGGGGTGCATAATAAAGAAAGAAATTGAAATTGAATTTCACAAGCCGCCGGCTTCGTGTCTTCGAGAGTAGTAGAGAGAGAGATGGTGACTCTCGGGGTAATTTCAGATAAAAAGATCAAGATGGAAGTATCCTAAGATAATTTTGAACTTTTACAAAAATGAATGTTAATAGTTTGACATTTTCTATGAAATTACTGCATAATAAACCATAACCTCTGTGATTGCTTTAAAAACTATATTTTTATTAATTAAAGTAAGGAGACAAGCAATGGATAGGGAGGAAGGGAGGGAATTATCAGGGGAAAACACCAGGCCATTACTAAATAGCACTTGGAAGGGGTCAGGGTAAGGATTTGGGATGGGGGGGGGGGGGGGAGAATGTTGCCCAACCACTTCGACGGTCGGGAATTGAACGCCGACCTGCATTCAGCAAGACCGTCGCTCTACCGTCCAGCCCAAGTGGTTTTCATTTTATTCTTTATGCTCAATTAGTATTAAGCTTTAGTCATTTAAGTTTTTCATGCCCGAAACGCTTTGCGTAATAGTGGCTTTAGGCATTGTATGTACTAGCCCTATCTATAAATTCATCACTCTTTGTAAAATCTCTTGTATGTATGTACCTTACCTAAATAAACATTTGATTTGATTTTGATTTGTTTGGCAGCAAGGGATAGGGAGCCAGAGGCCGTGGTGGGGTCGAGGTGTAAGCGCCGTCCCTGGCGGGAGCAAACAACAACAAGAGCTCCGACCGTCACACCTTTACCACCCAACAACAAAAGTAAGTTTCATCATATTCACTAGTTACTCGATATTTAAACATACATTTAGATTTCCTGCCATTCTTCGTTGTGGATTTGTTAAGTTAAGCCTTATTTTAGTGTTGTAATGTCCAGTCCGTTGTTCTGGGAGTGGAAGGGTAGCATCATTGGGGGTATTTATTTGGTTGTTTATAGGAAAATAATGTTAGAGTTATGTAATTAAAATGTTTATTTTTATTTTCCTAACATAGGATTAGACTTTGTTCATTGTCATGCACCCAGTTATTAACCAGACCAAATGGTACTTGGTCCAAATCCGATGTGATTTGAATTTATATATACTGTACAGCAGTTCTTACATTCTTATAAAGCCACTAACAGGCATAACGTTTCGGGCAGATCCTTAATCCTGATGTTCCCCACAATACGACCCGTCAAATCGTTTGACAACCAGATACCCATTCACTGCTGGGTGAACAAAGGCTACAGTTAAGGTTTGGCGTCCAGTCGATCCTCCCCTGCCAGTATACGAACCCAGGCCAAAGTGCTCGCAAAGCATCAGGTGAGTCTTTTATTACTGCTGAATATATAGTCACTACTGTATGTGATTCACTATATAGTCATAGTGGCATAGCACTTAGGTGTTGATAATTACCCAACACTTTCGTAGGATTTGTACATCATTAGTGACGTCACAGCTAATAGAAAATCTGCTTTTGGGCCGAGGATGAGTGTTCACAGACTTCTGTGTCCACAGACGTGCTTTAGGTTGATCCGGTTTCCCTTCTTCCCTGTTCGCGGGTACAGGTCTCTCAGGTTGTCCGCAGGGTTATTAAGTCTAGCCAACCTGTGACCTATCCCCGTGCCCATGGTGTTCGTAAGTCTGCTCCTCTTGCTGCCGTCTTTGGTAACATGTCCTGGGCTGACATTCGGGCACAGGGTTTTTTGGCGGTCGAAGAGGGTCCTGGCTTCATGCCACCTCGTTAATGTTTCTGGGCCTAGTCGGGCCTGTCCCCCTTTGGGTCAGCGGCTGTAGCCTATCTCGACTTCGAGTTGAGATGTGGAGCACCGACCGCCTCCCAGGTAAGTCCCGTTCTTTTTTTTTTAGTCTTTGGTGAAGTAGCTCTGGGAAGCCGTAGGAGCTCCCCCCAGAAAACCAGCATTGAGAGTAATGAAATGCCATATTCTGGGTGAGTCCCGGAGGCTCCCAGCAACTCTCCCTCTCTCCGGTCAGCGGTTTTCGCATATTTTGATATCCAGCCTCAGAACTGCAGGGTGGATCGCCCACACGGGGGGGGGGGGGGTCTGGGGCTCCCCCTTCCCCATCTTGAGGAGGGTGGAGCTGTGCGGCTCGTGTGATGTCATGCTTGTTTGCCCGTTTGCAAATGGGGAGTTCTGTCCACTCGTTTGTCTATTTTCGTGATTTTAACACGAATATGGGTTTGTTTTGGGGCGCTTACCATTCTGGGTGTCTGTCCCAGTCGATGGCAGATATAGAATGTTCCAACATCACATGTGCATATCTATAGGCCATTGCTCCTTGTGCCTCTCTGAGGGGGTCAGGTTTTGGCTCGTGCTTCCTGGTAGGCCTTGAACTCCACCCACATCGACTGATGCCAAAGTTAGGCATATCCATATCAGCCTGGATAGCTCCCGGGGAGCCTCCGGAACTCGCCCAGAAAATGGCATTTCATTACATTCAATGCTTGTTTTTTAAGACAAATATCCTCAGCATGTAGGCTATACAGTGTCTCAAAACTACCATCTAACATTGCCATGCAATTTAATTGTGTATTATTTTCAGGGCATGTCGATGTTACCAGAACCCCACGAAGATCGAGATCGTCAGAAATGGCAGCAGCCTAAAAACTCCAATAAGTTATTTCCCTCAATCTCAAGAATTGAGCTTGCATTTTACTTTATTTCATTCTGGAGTGGATGTTTTTACAGTCTCTACAGATTTTATCGCACTTCACAAAGTAAGTTTCTTGTTTTATACATTCTGTCTTTGATACTTTTTTGTCTTTTGTCTCTGAAAGTTAATAAGCGATATTAATCTTTGTGTCTACCACATTCTCAGCAATAAGTCAACTCCCACACACACACACTACATTCATGCACTTTACAAACTTTTTAGTTTATATTATGCATTATCGCACATCCCATGCTTTGTATTTTAACACAGGATGGGGCCAGTATTTACCAGTTACTCCAATACCTGACAGTTGGCTTGGGACACGGCAGGACCAGACAGACTTGGAGTGGTTCGTCTGGGTTCCTATAATACTCTCCTATGCTCCCTGGGGATTTGTACATGTTGTTATATCACAGCTGATTAGAAGATTTTGTCCACAGGTAAGAAATGTGTTGTGAAGCACAGTATGTGATCAGAGGCACATCAGTAGATAGCCTGAAATTAGTTCTGTGCGACATGTAAACATTCATACTTAAAAAAAAGCGAGACCATCACTCTACCGTCCAGCCCAAAAGGTTGGGCTGGATAGGTGGGCTTGCTTCAGTATGAACTGAAGCAAGGGATGAAATGTCCTCAACCTATTCTCAAACTTTAAATGGGTGAGATGCCGAGCTTGCTTGAATGCTGAAGCTTCGGCTACTAATCTGAGTATCTAGTGGGCCATTTTTTGAACTTGCTTCAGTAGGAACTGACACAAGAGTGCCTAGGCAAAACCTGGGGCATATAGACGAGATGAAGGAAACTCGTGGAAAAAGATGAATCTGAAAGACCTGCTGTCACCTGAAAATATACCCAGAAGGGTTGGGGGGGTGGGGATGGATGGGCTTGACTGAGGAACTGAACTGAAACTGCAGCAGGAAATGTAAAACCTGCTGTGCTGCACTAAATACCTCTTGAAAAGATACTGGAGACAATGATGGAGATCCATGAACCCTCATCACATAAAGACACCAACAAAATTGTACTGAAGCCCCCAGGGGGAGAACTAGGTTTGCCACCAGATGCTTAGGAAGACAGGCAGGCATCCCCTACACAAAGGAAAGTCCAACCCAACTCTAGTTACAACAACCTCCTTAAAGAATAATGTATCCCTGATGAGAAACTCTGGCTCAATTGTCTCCGCTGCCAACAAGAATGGGGCAACCCCAGAGAAGGCCTTGCACCTCCCGAATTAGGAGCCAAAGCTCTAAAAACTGCAAATGCCTTGGAGCCTGGAGCAAAAAGAGCAATAATGGCTTAGTACACCATATAAACACAGCCCAAAACTGATGTCACAAGAGGAAGAGCCAACCATGAGCAAGTTCCCAGAATCAAATGCTACCACCTCTGGCAAAAAGAGCAGGGGTCACCAACTATAGGGTGTCCATGCCAGACCAAGACTGCAGAAAAAAAAAATGGGACTGTCTTGTACATTGGCCACTGGCTGAAATGCCACACCCCACAAATGATGTGCAGTGAAAAACAAAGGTCAGTGACAACTCAGTCGGACTATTATGAAGCTATTGAAGTATGTACTGTATCTAACAAATTAATAAATCATTTACTGTATATATATACATATATATATTTGTTTTACATGCCATTCACACTTCATTCTCAGCAGTATGGCATAGATATGTTGTTTTAAGTATCACAGAAATCAAAAGATTTGTTTTTTGTTTTTTCAGCATTTGTGTAACTTCTACATTGGTTTTAGCGTCTGTATAACTGTTCCCCTCATTGGGAGAGTGGGCACAGCGCTGTGCTTTGCTGTGCCATCCATCATGTTTGTGGTCCTCTTGACACGCCTCAAGCTCATCATTTGGCTCACATGGTGTCTCATACTCATTCTTTTCAACACGCAGTTCTTCACCAACTATGTGGTAAGGCTTGGATGAAATTTTTTTTTGGCATTGTAGTGATTTTTTTTCTTGACAATGTTATGTTAGAAACTTGATGTTTTGTTCTCATCGTCTGGGATGTTACCATCATCTGCAGCTCTTGAAGCCTTTGAATTATCTTTGCCTTATCTAGAAACTCTTTCAATTAGTTATTTTTGTAATTTGATAGATTAAGAGTAAAATTTATTTTGAAGCCTAATGATGATAAAGTTGCAGGGTAAATTTATATTAGGATACTTTCACCTTCTACCTGCTAAAAATACCAGGTGGGGTAAAGGTCAGGTTAGAATAATAATCTTGTTGCCTCTGAGAGTGGTAGGGGAATGTGTAGTCTAAACTTCATACTATAAGAAGGAATTTGTCTATTAGGATTATTTTTTTATAATAGGAATTCTGGGTAGAAGACATCCCAGAAGGTGTATACAAAGTGTCGGTGATGGTAGCGTGGATTATCCTACGCAGCCTGAGCTTCAGCCTGGAAATCTGCGATACTGACCCAGAGAGTAAGCTGCGACCCGTTCCACTGCTGACTATGCTGTTTGGATACTGCCTCTACCTTCCATTCCTGTGCACTGGGCCATACATGCCTTTTACCGACTTCAAGGCTGGGGTATGTCGTCCTTTTGAAAGCTACAGTTGTTAAAGTATTACTGATAATGTTCTCAATAAAATTCTTCTTGTTTTTGTTGTCACTCCACAGAATTAGCAGCCTTATGGCATTATTCTCATGGTCATTCCTTGCTATAATTAGCTAACACTATACTTACATACAATACTTGTGTACTTAATTTACTTTTTCAGCTTGCAGAACCATACCGAATTTGGACACTAAGAAGATTCATTGGGGTTGGCCTTCAAATTATGAGATTTTTATGGTGGATGGGATTCACTCAGTTTCTCTTATACCAGTTTTTTGCACAGTAAGTTTTTAGCAGATGATTTACATATGAATTTTTTTTATAAGAAACTGGAGTTAATATGAGAATTTATAATGTAAGAGAGATGACTATTACTTTTATATGTCATTTGAATACACTTTGTGCTTGATCTGCCTCATTTGTTTTTGGCAAGAAGGTCTAGACACAATTACTCGCCTAGTTGTGCTTAATGTTGAGCATTAGTTAATATTTGCCATTGTTCTTCTTCAGAGGCTCTTTAATGAGCTTACCTTGAGAATCTCTCTTTATAGCCTTTATATTTGCAAACTTGTTTGCAAACATTACACTAAAGAAGTGTTTCCTGACATCCCACTGGCTCAGCTGCATCTGTAAACAGGTGCTGCCTCATATGAGCCAATAGGTCTTCTGCAGTTTCCTTTATTTTTACGTTCTTATGGTCTATAGCTTCCACTTGTGAAATGATTGTGGTGAGGGTCAGGCAATCAGTTCTAGGTGGACAGGAAGGTGTGCTTCAGGGGGAGTTAACATCAGTGGGTGAGTTAGAAGGGGAGGTATGCTTGGGAGGTTGTTCATTATATTATGAGACTGTATGAGATTGTAGTTGGTCCTATTCACTGCAGGGAGAGAGATGGTACAAGGCCAAGGGAGTTTTCTTGGATTTGTGAAAGTAGCAAAGTGATAAATGAAACAAATTCATTGTAGTGCTCTTATAAATGAAATAGGAACATCAAAGACAGAGAACAATGAATATATTTCAATATCTAAAGGTAAAATAGGTAAAACTTTGCTAATTTTGTAAAGCATGTTTGAGATTGAGAACAGATTGATTTAAAGGAGAATACTGTAACAGAGGTGATGGCAAGAGCTTCTTTTTCTATGATGTAACACATTGTCATCAATATCCTATTAAATTATTTGATGCTAATATATATTAAAATTCTTGTTTGATTAAAATGTGTAAAGTGTAAAGCTGGTAATGTTTTTGGTGTTTCCAACAGTGTTTAAGGGTGGCAAGCCCTAAGTGTGAAGGGCTAATTAGATTAGCTCAGGCTCTTGACATCATTAACTGGATTTGTTAAGACTGTAAGTTTAGAATCCATACCTTTATGACAAATTATACCAATGAATTATATTCCATTTTTTTCCCACTAGGCTTGACTCTTGAGTGTTGATGTATTTTACAGCTCGCTGCACTTCACTCCAGAGCTTGTGAAGAAAATGTCTTCCTGGTCGATGGCTGGCTTTGTTTATTTTCTCACTGCCTTCCTCCAGTTGAAATATGTTGGTAAGTTTAGCATCTTGACACACACTATACATAAGGTTGCAAATGCAGTGATAATTCTTAAGTGAAATAATACATCATGTGTGCCAAACTACTAGCCAATTACAGTAATTTAAAATCTATTGTTGCAAAATTGCTGAAATGAATAATGGCATAAGCCATTCATTTACATCTTGAAAGACACAGATTAATAAAGAATATAGAAATTGGGTTTACTAAGAGATGCTCATGCTAAGATGCTAAGGCTAGTCAAGCAAAAAAATTAATGGGGGGCCAAAGACCTTGGACTGTGCTCAACATACTTGAGGAAAAAAAAAATCCTCAATGACTCAAATTTCTATGAGTTAGATGAGGCAGGTTGCAAGAATAAATGTGGTCTACCAAAAGGTAAGTATAAAATTAAATTTTTGATGTACAGTACTTGAAAACATATTGTTTTTTATTTGAGTGTGTAGGTATGCAAACATGTATTCTTTCATCTTCGGTAAGACAATGCACACCAAAATTGCAGAAAACTTATAAAAATATAAAATTGCCTGAAATTTAACAATTAAAAAAAATGGAAGTACTTTAATCTGGAATGATAAAAGTACTGTAGTCCAGATAATCTAATGGTATTATGATGTTTTAGATAATAGAAATTCAGTACAATATTAGCTGTTGTCTGCTGGAAATAATGTTGCTATAATCTGTATTTGCCTAATGTTTATGAGCTGTGATAAAAGTAATCTCTCCGTAGTGCTGTATGGGTTGCCATCAGTGTTAGCTCGAGTAGAAGGCTACGACCCCCCGAGACATCCTCGCTGCACCCTCATGACCTACAGATTTTCTGATATTTGGCGGTACTTTGATCATGGGCTGTATCGCTTTATGCTCAAGTGAGTGTTATCAATTAATCATTTGTATGTGAATATTTTGCTTGAAATATAGCCCCTCTTTCCTTTCATAAAATATAATACAGTAGTATGGAGAAATTAGTTTAATTTTTGTGTAAACAAATAATCTGTTCTGATGACAAACAAGTCTTCAGAAATCTGAATGAATATTTCACACTTGACCAGAATTGAATCCATGAGAATCAGGATGGGGGGAAGGGAGGAGGTTGAATAATTAATAATAATTCTTAAATCATTTAATTTAGGCGTACCTTAACCAGCCTATGTTCGTCCCGTACCCCAGACCATTTCCTCTACGAATTTAGGTAAGGCTAGCCCCAAGCATGTGGTCCCCAACTTTGGACAGACAACGTGTGTGTGTGTAATTACCTATGTGTAATTATCTAAGTGTAGTCACAGGATGAAAGCTACGCTCGTGGTGTCCCATCTACCCAGCACTCTTTGTCATATAACACTTTGAAACTACTAACGGTTTTCGCCTCCCACCACCATCTCGCCTAACTTGTTCCAACCGTCTACCACTCTATTTGAGAAAGTGTATTTTCTTATATTTCTTCGGCATCTTTGTTTAGTTAGTTTAAATCTATGACCTCTTGTTCTTGAAGTTCCAGGTCTCGGGAAATCTTCCCTATCAATTTTATCAATTCCTGTTACTATTTTGTACGTAGTAATCATATCACCTCTTTTTCTTCTGTCTTCTAATTTTGGCATGTTTAATACCACTAACCTCTACTCGTAGCTCTTGCCCTTCAGTTCTGGGAGCCACTTAGTAGCATGTCTTTGCACCTTTTCCAGTTTATTGATGTGCCTTTTAAGATATGGGCGAACTAATGTGTTAACTTAAGATACTTAACTTAAGACACACACATACATACTGTACATAAAACTATATATACATACATAAAATAACTGAATAATAGAGAAAGTTTGTTTGTCCAAGGTTGGAAGCCAGACACTTGGGGCTAGCCTTGCCAAACTTTGCAGGGTGACTGGCAGGTGTTGGGATTCTGTCATAGGGGGAATTGGCCCTTTGATACCATATTCCAACCTTGTTAACTACCAGACTCCATTCACACTAAGCTTCATCCAGCATGATTTCCTGGAGCCGCTACTGCTCAGATGGGGTGCCAGGGTAGTGAAGATGGTACTGTGATGCAGATATAGCAATTCTCAAATTGGTAATGTTTGGGTTTCATCGTGTGGTTACATAATAATATCCTCCAGATGTGAATATTTCGCTTTGGTGTAGCAGATACTTTTTGTTTAGACTTTCACTACAAGTTATATGTATATTTTAGTCTTGTGTGTTTAAACCTAATATCAATGTTCATGTCATATTTAGTATGTTAGTCAGTCTATCATGTAGGGTTCTCCACCAAGTGTTTCATGTGTTGCTTTAGAGAATCACTTTAAGGATCAGAGATGGTCAGTTGCAATATATTTAGAATGATTGTGGCCATTGTTTGTATTTTAGAGGAAGTAATCAAAGGTATTGATAAGTGTTATCAATACCATTTAACAATTGTGATTATTAAAAGCATATTTGTTTATCTTTTCTTTTGTTCAAAGCTTTTTTCTGTTAAGACAGAAGAAGTAAATATACATTTTGCCTCTCCTTGCAGACACATTTACATCCCTTGGGTTGGATTTGAACCAAGTTTAGTAAGACAACTACAAGGAACAGCACTTGTCTTTACATTCGTATATGTTTGGCATGGTGTGTCTACTCAGGTGTTCTGGTGGGCAACAATTAACTTCTTTGGAGTTGTTGCTGAGAAATTAGGAGACTCCATTTCTCGGATGCCTACTTATGAAGCATGGGAGGTAAGCAGCCTGTTGTTTACTTGTACTCAGAAAATATGTTAACTGCTAGGATTTGGATAAGATAGTAACTAGGTCTGTGGCAAGCATCATCTTCACATGATTGTGACTAGGTCTGTGACCTAGTCCTATCAAGCATCATCTTGACATGATAGTGGGTGGAGTCTTTGTTGCCTTAACCTTTAATTTCCTACATCATGGTGTGCATGGAAAAAATTATTCAACTTCCATGAGAATCTCTCATTTTGCAATTCGAACTCAGAACGTAATTGCAGACAGTAATTGGATCTATTTAAGGGTTAATCAAAGGGCTTTACTCATGTATCTCAGTCACAGAATGTCCATCCAGTCCATTCTGGACATGGGGATGACTTTGCACATCAGTGAATACCTTCTGAGGTCATACAGGGATGAACTGAGCATTTTCCAGTGTCTCTCTTCCTTCTTTAATTACCAGGCAAGTGCTGTTTGAAAAGAACCCCCACTGCATCAAGAATAATGAGTCATTGACTGACTGGATTCTGCTGAGCCCTGGGACACTGGGACTTTTGTCTAAGGAAGTGACTTAGTAATTTAAGCTCAGATGTCAAATGTAATACTGATTTTTAAGAAAGAAACAGGTGGGAAGCCCAAACATACAGACTGGTATGTCTGGGCTTCTTGCATGTTACTAACATGCATTCCATGATTTATGGAGTATCTGATGGTGATAAATTTTGTGACAGACACACAGTATGGATTTAGAGGGGGGAAAAGTTGTGTTTTGCTACCTTGATAGAGTTCTATGACAAGGTTACAATGATACACCAAGAGAGAGATAAGGTTGGGTATATTACATTTTCCTAGACTGCCAGAAAGCATTTGATACAGTTCCTCACAAAAGGCTAGTGCATAAAATTGAGAGGCAGGCTGGGATAACTGGGACACTAAACTATGTAAGAGTACCTAACAAACAGGAAATGGTCATAGAGTAAACAATCCCTGTAGAGCTGTGGTATTGCATTCTATGCCTCACGAGCATTTTCAGTCTGATTAAAGCCCTGGGCAGGGAAGAATACTTGGAAACCGATCATAACTGTTCTTTCTTACTGAAGCAACAGTAATTAGGTGGGTTATATTCCAGGGTAAAAAATAGGTTAAATCTGTGGAAAGGGCAAGTTCTGAGATTGCTAACAAGAGTTAAGTCATCATCTGTCACCACTTGTGTTAATTTAAAACAAAAAATCAGGTGTTGAATTTAATGAAACTGCCATTTCTGGCAAGTCACTCTGTAGCTCCCTATAACTTTAACTGGGTTCTCGCCAACAACAACAAAAGCCGTCCAAACAGAAACTGGTTGGATTTTTCTCTTGATCCTCAAGGTCTCCTCACTTCATAGCATGTGTTATATACTAGTCCGAGCTTCCTGTAAGCTCAAGCAGGTCTCGGAGCCTAGTGTCACTACCTTTTGCTTGGCAGCCCTAGTGCTATAGCTAGAGAAAGCAGCCGAGTGGCTAATCAGAAAAGGGTGGTCCATTATATTCGGTGTTTGAATTAATATGAATTTTCAGTAATAGGCAAAAGCTGAAATATTTTAGTGGTTTGGTCCCATCTGTGAAGGACAGGACATTATTTGTTGTTGTCAGGGATAGGAAGGCTATTAACCTAATCAAGGTTGCCTTAGGCCACTGCTGAAGTTTCTATGATGCAACCTGCAACAGTTTTCCAACTTGCAGGGACCTATTTACTGCAGGGGAACAGAAGCATCAGGTGAAAGGAAACCTGCCTAAACGTCTTTGGTTTGCCATGGGAATCAAACCCAGACATTATATTTGTGAATTAACAATGCTGATCATTGCTGCAGTCATACTGACAAGAAAGTATTTACTTTCTCTTTGCTGTGTGGTAATCAATTATTATTACATAATACAGTATATTATAAAATTTGTATTCTTTCTGTATCTACAGAGTCGATGGTTTCCTGGTTCGTGGCAGCGAAGGATTCTGGGACTACTGGCTGTGTGCCTTTATGTGCCGTCTCTCACCGCTCTCGTCATATTCCTCTCCAATCTTGATAATGCCTTAGTCATAGGAAATAGAATATTTATCTCAGGTTTGTTTATTTGTACTTTACAATATTTACAAAGCCATAAAGAATTTAAATCACATATTAACTCTAATTATTTACAAGAGTGTCTTAATTTGTTCTTTCAGTACTTCACTATACATTTATATCTTTAGGTTCTTGTTTAAATCTTTCTTGCTCATCTTCCTGTAATGATAGAGAGATGAGGGCTGTACTCCAAGGAAGAATGTCCAATTGCAGAGAAATTACAAATGAGATCCCAAGGGTTGGTGTGGTCCCAAATCATGTTCATAGTTTATGTGGATGACTTTCCAGACGGCACTAAGCTTAAGAGTTGGATGCTTAATGGTTGGACCAGGGTATAATGGGTGTTGCCAGTTCATCGTACCGTTGTGCTAGCTAGTGCTGCCATGTGGTGGCTATTGGTGTAGCAAAATGATAGCTTATTGATCCAAAGTAATATAATTTATCATTGGGATCCCAATGATTGTATGAAAGGGGTATTGAGTGCTTCTATTTTGTTTTTTTGCAGTATGATAAGCAGCATGTTTTTGGTGGATTAAAGTTTACTCCACTGTTTTCCTGTCCAGAAACTTTTATGGGAAGGCAATTGGTGCTTAAAGTCAACTAGAGCCTGGCATGTGGGCAGTGTCCTGGTTGGACCTATGACCCTGACTAGTAAAGTTCTCAACTTAAAGCTAATTTAGAAATGTAAATAAATAGGAAGTAAAGAAGGCAGCACTACAGTATACTGAAATTGATAGGCAACTTAGAAAAGTTGCATAGGGATAAGTTTCTGGTGGCATTTTACAAGGATTGTTATTGCCCCAGTATTCCGGGTGTATATAAAAAAATTGTCAGAGGCTGTGAGTAGTATAAAAAAAAAATATTTTGACAGGATTAATGAGGAATTTCTGTCTCATTTATCCCACCTCGCTCTCAGCACCCAGTCATAATCTGCCTCTCAAAGTTCCCCCATCCCTCCCACCTCTCATCAACCAACTACCACCACCACAACCAAAACTATCCTATCCCTACAAACACAAACACATAACTACAATAATTAGTACAACCACAGCCACAATCACAATTACATCATAACAAACACATCAGCAACCATCATACAGCTACAAAACCACTTCAACTACAGATACAACTGCTTACAACCACAACTACAGATACAACTGCTTCAGATTCAAGACAGAGGCTTTATTTGTAAATGTATATAGAGTATAGTTAGAAAATGAAATAACTAAAGCTAACTTTGATTATTTCAAATTGACTTTATATTTTTTAATTTTAATGTAAGGATACAACATAAATAGTTGCCAAAATAAAGGAAAGGGCTAAATAGTTAGAAAGGGCTAAATAGTTAGCTAAATAGTATTATACTGGAGACAACAGTTGAAGCTCGTAAGTGACTTGACTAATGTGTTCTCCATACATCTCTGCCTCTGGGAAGCAAGACTGTGTGCTCGTCTAGTTGTGCTAACGGGGGTTGAGCTTTGACTCCTTGGTCCCTCCACCTGTGAGGTGGTGTAATGTGTTGGGAATGTGCATATACAATGCTGTTCAGTTAAAATTAAAAATTTTAGTGTTCATTTTTATTATATGCATGTATCCAAAACATAAAATACATAGTATATGCACCCATTCTTTTGAATAAATACTGTACACATTTACTTTCTGTATAAATGCGCTATTTGCACAACTGGCGATTAGCACCGAGACGTCTCGGCAACACATTACCTTAAAAGGAATAAGATGGTGCAATATGTACATTTATCAAATAGAACGTGTTTGTCCAAGGTTGGAGGCCAGGTGGTTTGGGCTAACCTCGGTAAACTTTGCGAGGTGACTGGTGACTTCTTCGAAGTGTCATAGGGTGGTCAGGGTTGGCCCTCACGCTACCTTCCCCTCCCTCCTTAAAGGGGTAGTCAGCCCCTGTGCATACCTTCTTGAAGTCATTGGATAGGAAATGTTTTGTCCTGAGTCTGTAGACTTTAGCATTCATTTAGTTATTGACATGTAAAATATATGTTGAGATGACAGATTTGCATTCTGGGTGCAACCTTTTTGGTAACATTTATAGACTGTGTGTAGGAAAAAAGTTAGTGATTGGAGAGAAAGGGAAGGTGTTTGTGTTGTAGGAGGGCTTATATGGGGGAAATGGGGAGGGTGTGTGTGTAGGGGGAGATGGGAAGGATGTGTGGGGAAGGAAATAGGGAGGGAATTACCAAGAATTATCATTATTATCAGAAATAGGGCTGGGAGGGTTGGTATTGGGGAATTTATGAGTGTGCTGGGGAGATGGGGGAGGGTGTTGGAAGGGAGGGAAAATGGAGATGTGTATGAAGAAGTTTTACAGTAATAACAACAGTGTGTATTGAAGGTATTTACAGTGATGGGGGGCAGGCAGGGAAGCTATATATGGGGAGGGGAGATAGAGAGGGTAAATGTGTTGGGGGAGATGGAGAGGGTGTGAAGATGGTTACAGTAATAAGGATAGTGTGCATTGAAGAGTGTTACAGGGATGTTGTGATGGTGTGTGTGGGGGGAAGATGGGAGTGTATGTGTAGGTGGCCTGGGCACTACATCTAGTTTATATATGGCATAAACTCTTCAGTTATTAATAGTGGCTGTGTAAGGACTAATTAATAATTATACTACATGGTCTTCTTTAATAATAAACGAGCATGTTTTAAGTTTCAGCCATAATTAATCTGTAATGTTTCAGTTGTAACAATGTACATTTGCTAGAAAGAAATTGCCTTGATTTTTCAAGGTTACTTTTCTCTTATTCCAGGATTTCCTCAGTGTACTCTGAGCACCTTCTTCTTCATGTTCTGCCTGGGTCAGTGTAGTATGGAGCTGCAGAATTGGAAGATACGACAAAAATTGGAGTTAAAACAGTCGTAACATATATAAAACTATGCATTTAGTCAGAATAATTGTTAGTGTTACTGAGTATCAGGACTTTTATAGATTGATTTTACAGTATTGTCAGGCTTTTCTGATGGTGTGCTTAGTAAATGGCAGTATTTATTTCTTGGACGGCACTTCTTTTTGTGCACTTATCTTAATTTTGTTTTAATTTGTCACGCATAACTAGACCATAATTATCATACCTGTATACCATTTCTTAAGATGAGTTAGGGTGTATAGGAAAACAATTCGTGTTGAATCATCAAGGGTGAAATACCAAATTGAGAGTAGATTTTACTGGAGATAATGTTTTACCTGTAGAGGTATAATTTGATCTAACAGACACATGGTTAGTGGCATAATGGGAAAAGGTGGTGGGATGAGGTTAGAGAGGAAAATTATCAAGGGTGAGGTGAAGGTGGGGTGAGGTCTGGAAAGTTCAGGTATAGTGAGGAAAGTGAAGAATTATTTTAGCCACAATATATATCTGAAATATTCCTGTAACATGGGGTTGCATTGCTGTATTAAATGAAAATATCACCCCCCCCCCCCCTGACCTCACCCCATTTCACCTTCATGGTGTTGCCTATACAGGTATTCACTTTTGACCTCACTCTATCTCCCTGACTCGCCTTACCTTCTCTTGCCTAACTTCGCCCCATTTCCACCTTCACTTCCTTAACCTCCCTGATCTCGCCCTTAAGTATACAATTAATATCGCTTTTCTCTTTAAAAAAAACATACATGTATATTATTATAAGAACATGAGAAATCCTGTCTACAATTAACTCATTAAAATCTTCATGCAGCATCATCTTGATAAACCAGTGTAATATCACTGTAAAAAGTTGAGTATAATCATAATCACAATGAGAGTCAGTTGAATACTAGTACTCAAGTCTCAAAAGCAGTCTATACATCATACTCGGCTTTTTATTTTACAATTAGATGTATAACATGAAAACTCCTCCAGATTCCTAGGACATGCATCATAGGACATTCTGCTAAGAAGTAAGATCACAAACTACATGGAATCACAACTTCTACATAACCCCGGACAATATGGTTTCAGGACAGGGGGCTCTTGCCTGTCATAGTTGCTGGACCACTATGACATGGTATTAGATGCCATGGAAGACAAACAAAACGCTGATGTAATTTACACAGATTTCGCAAAAGCCTTCGACAAATGTGACCATGGTGTTATTGCACATAAAATGCGTTCAAAAGGAATTACCGGAAAAATAGGCAGATGGATCTATAATTTCCTGACTAATAGAACCCAATGTGTAATAGTCAACAAAATAAAATCCGGTCCATCAACCATGAAGAGCTCAGTCCCCCAGGGTACTGTGCTTGCTCCAGTACTTTTTCTCATCCTCATATCGGACATAGACAAGGACACAATCTATAGCACTGTATCATCCTTTACAGATGACACTAGGATTTTTATGAGTAAACAACATAGAGGACACGGCAAACTTTCAATCAGATGTAAATCAGGTCTTTCTATGGGCTACAGAAAATAATATGGTGTTTAACGAAGATAAGTTCCAGTTCATGCACTGGAAAAAATGAAAATATAAAAACGGAAACCACGTACAAAAACTCGGTCAAACCATAACATAGAACGAAAAGGCAATGTGAAGGATATGGGTGTACTTATGTCGGAAGACCTTACCTTTAAAGAACATAATAAAGTAGCCGTCACAACTGCAAGAAAAATGACAGGTTGGATAACGAGAACTTTTCAAACTAGAGATGCTATACTGATGATACTCTTCAAGATGCTAGTGCTCTCTAGAGTGGGGTACTGCTGCACAATGACAGCCCCTTTCAAAGCTGGAGAAATTGCTGACCTGGAAAGCGAACAGAGATCCTTTACTGCTAGAATCCACTCAGTAAAACATCTAAACTACTGGGACCGATTAAAGAGCCTAAATCTGTATTCCCTTGAGCGCAGGCAGGAGAGATACATAATAGTTTACACATGGAAAATAGTAGAGGGGCTGGTCCCAAACCTGAACACAGAAATAACATCACATGAGACCAGAAGGCATGGCAGGATATGCAGAATACCCCCGTTGAAAAGCAGAGGTGCAACAGGTACTCTGAGAATTCTATCAACATCAGAGGCCCGAGACTGTTCAACACGCTTCCACTACACATAAGGGGCATAACTGGCCGACCCCTCACAGTGTTCAAGAGAGAACTGGATAAGCACTTCCAAAGGATACCTGATCAACCAGGCTGTGATTCGTACGTTAGGCTGAGAGCAGCCACATCCAACAACCTGGTTGACCAGTCCAGCAACGAGGAGGCCTGGTTGACGACTCGGCTGCAGGGACGCTAAGCCCCGGAAGCACCTCGAGGTATGCATTGCCAGCCGGGAGTCCATACTTAGTTAAACACAAAACAAAGTTAGAGAAGATTTAGAGGTATGCCACCAGACTAGTCCCAGAACTGAGAGGTATGACCTATGAGGAAAGGCTATGGGAGCTGAACCTTACGTTCCTGTTAGACAGAAGCGTAAGGGGAGACATAATAACCAACAAAATTCTCGGGGGAATTGACCGAGTGGACAAAGACAAACTATTTAGCATGGGTGGAACACGAACAAGGGAACACAGGTGGAAATTTAATACCCAAGTGAGCCACAGAGACATTAGAAAGAATTTGTTCAGTGTCAGAGTACAGTAGTTAACAGATGGAATGCATTAGGCAGTGATGTGGTGAAGGCTGACTCCATACACAGTTTCAAATATAGATTTGTACACCAGCTCTCAACTGTACACCATTTGAGAGACAGGACCAAAGCTCAACCCCACACGCACAACTAGGTGAGTACACAAAGACTTCTTCTTCAAAACACACTTAAGTGGATGTCTTGAAAAGGTGGCCCTAATTGTCTCATCCCTATGATGGTTAGTGTCTCCCAAGATAATGTGTTTCATATCACCAACCACTTCCACCCTCGTTATACATTGGTGGGTACCACAACATATTGAATGATTGATAAAAGGCATCAAGTTACAAAACTTTTAAGTTTCTTTGGAACTACTGATTTACCCTGCAAACTGCTTTAAGTCAAGGCTAATAACAGTAATGATGCCAAAGTTTTATGCAACATGTAGCTCCATTCTTTGAACCTTAAAGACATTCTTAAATTCTGATGCCATCTCTCACTAAACTTTCCTCTACCTTTCCTCACAATTCCCCTTGATGATAATCATAACTCAAACATTATACTGTACTGTATACAATAGTTATTTCATTATCTAAAATGACAATATAAGAATGATGAGATGGATTTACCTTTCTGGGCTTGGGGGAGCAATTTATACAGTAAAATCTTCTGTTACATCACCAGCAAATTGGAGACTTGGAAACTTTGCAAGTGCTTTAAATAGTCTTATTAAATATATTTTAGTAAATTGTTATAATTTAAGGTTATAATTAATCTATATTCAAAGGTTAGAAATTTTGTGTTTTCCAGCATCTGAAAGAAAATTGGGAAACATAAAAATATGGAACAAATTTTGCACATTTGTCAGTTCAGGTTTTCACTACCATACTCATCAGTTACTAGAAATTACAGCCTTTGTACAACCCCAAAATAAATCCTTGATGCTCACACTGCCTTAGCAATAAGTGCTGAAATTTGTTCAGTTTTATACATTTCTTTTTAAATATTACTTTTAATTCAATTGTTGAATAATTTTCTGGAATATAAGATTACTTAATAAAATATTACTAATTATGCAACATAATTTTTTTTTTACATATTGCAAGTCAAGTAACTTGGTCCCAGTTTTCTGGATTCTTGAACTTATCCTTGCATATACTGTACTAGGGTGGTACTCATCGTTGCCCAGGTCTGTCCGTCTCCCATCTATCCATTTAGCCATCTGTCTATCTATACATACATCCAGCAATCTATCCATCCATCCATTTATTCCACCCCCTCGTCTTTGAAAACATACCCTGTATTAAGTATCCTTAGAAAATATACCCTGTATTTTTTAGTATACCCCTGTATACTAAAACAACTGTATTTATATTACAACATCATTAGCATTTATATTTCATATGTTCATTAGCTGGTCACTTTTCTTGGTAAGGAATTGAGGCAGGGTAAGAAATTCAGTTATGGTAAAGTTAATCTCTATCTGTCTCATTGTTTACTCTGATCTGAAATGCAGTGTTCAAGAGAGAACTCAATAAACACCTCTAAAGGATACCTGATCAACCAGGCTGTGATTCATACGTCAGGCTGCGAGCAGCCACGTTCCAACAGCCTGGTTGATCAGTCTTAGCAACGAGGAGGCCTGGTCGAGGACCGGGCTGCCAGGGACGTTGAGCCACAAAATCATTGCAAGGTAACCAAGGTAGCTGACTGCAGGTTCCGGAAATCTCAGTACAGGTACCTGTTATCCTGATGCCAGCCTCACATATTGATAACTTGTAAATTATTTGTACTTGCCCCAATATTTTCTTGTCATGATTAATTTTTAAAGTTAAATATATATATATACTGTATATAAAGAAATACTTGAATTAAAAAGTTTTAGTGCATTATTTATTTATTTACAAAGGCAAAGCAATTCCTGTACATGGGAGGCAGTGATAGTCATTTTTTATTAATTTTTTTCTGATACATTAACCCTTTAAAAGTGGCTATCACCAAAATTTAACACCTCATCTGTTCACTCACACACACACGTCAGCAATTTCAAAGCGTTATGACAGAGTGCTGGGAAGACAGGACACCACGAGCATAGCTCTTATCCTGTAACTACACTTAGTATGATTACCTAAGGTAATTACACACACACACACACACATGCATACACACAGTGCTGGTGGATGAGTGGACAGCACGCTGGATATGTAGTTTTGTGGTCCGAGGTTCGATTCCCGGTGCTGGCGGAAACTGATGGACAGTTTCTTTAACCCTGATGCGCCTGTTACCTAGCAGTAAATAGGTACCTGGGAGTTAGACAGCTGTTACGGGCTGCTTCCTGCAGGTATGTGTGTGTGATGAAAAAAAAAGGTAGTAGTAGTAATAGTTGATTGATTGACAGTTGACAGGTGGACTGTGACCACTGGACAAGAGGTCTGGGAAAGGAGAGTTGACTATAGGAAACAAATATTACAGAAGGATAAAAGAATATCTTGGAGATGTACTGTTTTTCCTCTAAGTTTGTTATCCCACTGTATAAGAAATGATGGACTTAGTCAAATGTAAATGCAAGGTATGAAGATAATTTCATGCCAACAGTAAGTATAAAAAAAAAAAAAAAAAAAAGTTGGAGGCAATATAATAGCTCATGGTTTACTAGTGTGTCAGGAAGCAAAAATGAAAAGCAAGAGGGAGTGGGGGAAGGACAGAGGAAAACAGGAATAGATGCAACAGAGCTAGGAACGAATACATAAATATAAGGAGAGTATTGAAAAGAAAATATGATAATGATATTGCCATCAAAGCAAAAAAGCAACCCAAATTACTAAATAATCATATACAAAATCTCCATGGGAACTTTTGTTAGCATATATTAGCAGTCCCAGTGGCGCTGTGGTAAAACGCACCCAGTGCTTCTCGAATGCTTTAACTGGGGTTTGTAACCTGGCCGGGGAGGATTGGCGCCCAGCCAATCCTTAATTGTAGCCTCTGTTCACCCAGCAGTGAATGGGTACCGGGTTGTTAAACAATTTGGCGAGTTGTATTCCGGGGAAAAATTTGGATTACTTGCTTATGGGGGTTCTGGGAGTTGTTCTATTCCTCACTATTAAGGATCTGCCTGAAATGCTATGCGTGCTAGTGGCTTTACAAGAATGTAAGAACTCTTGTATATATAAATAAAATAAAATATATAAAAAGAAGGAAAAATGACAGTGAACGACCAAGTGACAAGACTACAGAAAACGGGAGGTGACGAGGAAATCTGTGAGGTACTGAATGCCAGTTTCCATGGAATGTTCATAACCAAGGCTAAGCAGCTCCCATTGTTAAGAGTTGATGACCCTATATGAAAGACTGTCAAATATAAAGGTGACAGCAGAGGAGGTAATGAAACAACATTGGATGCAACTAAAGCAGTTGGACCAGACAATGTATCACGGTGGATACTAAAACAGGCAGCGCAGGCCCTCGGCGTGCCTTTAGCTAGGATCTTTAATTAATCACCTATGTAGGGAGAGTTGTCCAGTTGCTGGGAGAAGGCAAATGTGATACCAATTTTCAGGAAAGGAGGTAGAGAAGATGCACCTAACTACAGACCAGTAACACTGACAAGCATTCCCTGCAAAGACCTTGAAAATAACCAGGTTAAGACTAGTTACATACCTAAGAGAATTAGGTATGTAAACACACCAACATGGGTTCAGGGAAGGGAAATCATGCCTAACAAACATTATGAATTCCATGATAAAGTAACAAGAATAAGGCAGAACAGGGAAGGATGGGCAGATTGCACATTTCTGGACTGCCAAAAAACCTTTGGTACAATACCATACAGGAGATAACTATACAAACTTGAGAGGCAGGCAGGAGTAAGCAGAAATGCCCTAACATGAATAAGGAATTACCTAACAGGCAGGAGCCAGTGTAACAGTCAGGGGGCAAGATGTCAGACTGGCAAACAATGACGCTTGGAGTACCTCAAGGATCGATGTTGGGACCAATTGAACAAATCCACAAGGCCGTGGTTCATTTGATGCATCACGTTATTGTGATTTCTGTGTGTACTGGGACCAATTCTATTTCTATTCTAATATACGTAAATACAGGTCCACAGGAGTTGTCTCATATGTCAATGTTTGTTGATGACACGAAAATTAATGAACCGAGTTGTGATGCATGAGGATTGTAGGATCCTCCAAGAGGATTTTAATAAATTGAAGAGATGGTTGAAGAAATGGCTACTGTAGTTCAACATAAGCAAGTGTAAAGTGATGGAAATGTGAACAGGTGACTGTAGACCAAAGGAACAGTACACAACGAAGGGAAATGCCTACCTGTGACGACTCTAGGAAGAGCCCTAGGAGTGGATGTAACACCAAATCTAAATCCAGATGCACGCATAAAATAGGATAACATCAGCAGCGCATACTCTACACTAGCAAAAAGTCAGAACATCATTCAGGAACCTAAGTAAGGGGGCATTTAGAGCACTTTACACTGTCTATGTGAGACCAGTCTTGCAGTATGCCATCACATCATGGAGAAACCTGAAGCCCCCACCTGAAGAAACATGTAAGGAAACTGGAAAAAGTTTCCTTGTGTGTTTCTATACAAGATTTCTGACAAAGTTCACATATAGCATTTAATTTTGAATTAATATCTATGTAAAATATTTATCTCTACCATAGTACAAGAACTTGAACAAAATTTATTGTGTGTGTGAGAGAAAAGGAGGGGGAAGGAAGACAGACAATAAAACAGACAAGAATGAGGACATGGGTAACTGTTCCATGTAAACTGAATATGTTAACTTCATAACATGGCAAGTGTAAAAATGAACACAGGGATATCTGGCATGACACTTATGGCAATGAGAAACAATGATTGTACTGTTCTAGATGTAAACTGGAAACACCACTCACATGACATACACAGTACAATGTGAAATACACATTTAGGAGGAGAGTTCTACATGTATAATAATTGTACAAAATGCACATAAATAATTAAAATATACTTCTGTATGATACTTAAGATATAATTATTCTGTCACTAGGATTTCCTTTACTTATTACATATATGCATTGAGCAAAACAAGAAAATACATATGGGTCTGGTAAGATGCTCCAGAATGTTGTGATTACTATACCGAGAACCTTTTCTTACATATTATTCTTTACCAATAATCATTTACAAATTGATAAAATTTTACAACGTAACAATTAGAAAAAAATGAGTAATTAAATTTAAGAATTGGAAACGTAAAATGTGATTACCTAAGTTACCAGAACCAAGCATATTTTAGTGTTTAGTCTCATTTGTGGACCAATGAGGAACATTTATCAGTCATGTTCAGCCTTTCTGTGTTTTTTGAGAGACGAACTCTTCCAGAACTGTGAACCACAATCTGGACATTCTCTAGGTTTTCTGTCCATGTGGCATTTTTTGTGAGCCCGTAAGTATGACCGAACTCGGAATGCTGCACCACACTTTTCGCATTTGAAAGGCTTTTCACCTGTATGTTTTCTCTCATGTACAATAAGAGCCTGTTTCTGTGTAAATGTATCATCACAATATTCACACTTTAATAGGCTTTTACCGACGTGCACTTTTTGATGGCTATCAAATTGGAATTTATAAGTGAAATTTTTTTCACAATGTTGGCACTGAAATGGCCTTTCCCCAATGTGAATACGTTGATGGACAATTAACTGATTGTTACTCTGAAACTTCTTATCACAAAACTGACACTGAACACTCTTCAGACAAAAGTGACGCTGTATATGGCTTCTGAGCAATGTTTTACTTCTAAATGTAGCCTTGCACACTGTACAGGGGTATGATTTTCCTACCACAATTGTGTGTGTTAATTTATGAATCATCAAGGCGTTCTTATTCATAAATTGCATATGGCAAACTTCACATTTACTTGGCATATTGTTCATTTGATCCTTCATTAAATCCTCTGTGTCCTTCTCTTTTATTGATACTCTTTCATTTTCTGTACAACTATAAAGTTTGTCTTTGCCTTTTTCACCATAAACTGGAACTACCAGATTATTATGATTATCATGTTTGTTTTTAACATAGTTTCTTCTTATTTTCTTTTCTGGGTTGAAAATTTTAACAAATGGTCCATCTTTACAAGTACGTTTGTAAACATCAACATCACGATAACGAAAAAGTTCAGATATGAAAGGAATCTGATACAATATCGGCATCGCTGGATTTTGAATCATTTTCTTATCACCCTTTTCTTGTCCATTTTTATAACTTGGGTGGGTGCCATTCGTCTCCAAGTGACAGTCAGGCTCCAAAATCATGTCACATTCAACACTGAGAAATTCCACAGCATCAGGCATTTCTTCTTTATATGTTTGTGTATCACTGTCAGGAATTGTCTGTGGCTCACTCTCCTCAGGGCCTTCACTCATTTCATCATCTTCCTTGGCCACATCACTTGATTCCTCCTCGATGACTTCGACTTCAGAATCGCTGTCCTCAGAGGACTGGTCTTCCGTCTCATGGTGTAAATCTGTTGCATTAGCCTCTAGAGAGCTGTGTGTTTCACTGTGTAGCCCATAACTTTTAATGTGATAGTTCATTGTGATAGAAGGTTTGCTTGTTGTTCTGCTAACTAATATCCCAAGTAGTACCACCAACACCAACCTACACAAACAAGAAAAAAGACTATAATTAAATTTAAAACTGTTATCATGCAACACTAGTATAATATACAGTATATACTAGAATCAGGCATTTAGAAAGAAACTCAACCCATTTCAGCTATAAATTATAGCTATACCAAATATCTTTTTTTGCCATCCTAATGTAGTTTGATAGCCTAGTATAAACAACCAAGTGTGTGAGTGTACAAGTCAACTCCCTCACTTGCAACACAAAACAATTTTGTTATAAAAAATCTTTTATTCCCCTTACTTTAATGCATATTGGTGGTGCATATGCTGCATCCTTGCAAATATTCTCAATTATGGTGAAGCTGAACAAAGCTAAACACCAAGTTGAATTTCTTAGCTTCCTGAATACTCCCTCTGTGATATTTGTGTTTCTTTTAGGTTCATTAAAAACATTCATTCTTCTCTCAAGACTTAACAGTCTATGCTTTCATCTGATTTATTATCTGAAAAAAATCTTTTAATTGCCTTTATACAATAATTTTCTAATATAATTAAGAAAAATGCTACTACAATTCTGTCTAGCCAAAAAATGGCCTAACACTGAACTGTATCCAGTCAAGTATTAAAATGAAACATAAATGTACACCAGCCTCATTCAAGCAATTTTCTTGCAGGTGGCATGTGCAGTTTGCAAAATATCACTTGCATACAACTAGCCACTCTATAAACACAACACAACAGGCAAAATACCCTGAGAATAGAGGTACAGTATCTGTAAAAGGTCTAATACAGTAATACCATTATATTTCTTAGTGCTAGTACAGTACTTCTAGATATAAATCCCTATATCACACTGATTTTTTTGTTTTATGTTTTTTACTAAACATGAATAACAGATCTGTTTGTACTCATATTTGACAATTTTACAATTATTCAGCTGATATCTGATAAATCTATTATACTTTCCCAGGCTCAAAACTGTATTTGTCAGGATCAATCTGCATTTGCCAATATTTCATTCATTGTTAAAGTCTATCTTAATCATTCTGTAATGATCCTTGATAAAGTATTTCTCACTATTTCAGTGTTGTTAGAAAACTTGTTAATGTTGTTGTTCCATCCTGTATCTAGGCCATTAACATATGATAAGCAACAGATCTCAAGACAGTTACCATCAGCCCATTGTATCTGATCAAACAGGTTGTAATTCATGTCAGGCTGCAAGCAGCCATGTACAACAGCCTGGTTGACCAGTGCAGCAACGAGGAGGCTTGGTCGAGAACCGGGCTGCGGGGATGTTGAGTCCCGAAATCATCGCAAGGTAACCTCAAGGTAACCAGCCCCACAGACATTAAAGATTGCAACCCAGCCTCAGGACAAACTAGGCAAAACTGTGGCCATTCCAAAAAAAACTCATTTTACCAAATATAACAAGGTACAGCTGGCAGTTAATAAATGTGAATCATGTAAAATGCATTTGATCTACTTGTAGAATCTACTTGACAAATGGAATTTAATGTGAATAAATGCTATGTTATAGAAAGCTGCCGGAGAAATATAAGAAAATTCACTTTTATAAACAGAGTGGTGGACGGCTGGAACAAGTTAGGTGAGAGGGTGGTGGAGGCCAAAACCATCAGTAACTTCAAAGCGTTATATGACAAAGAGTGCTGGGAAGACGGGACACCACGAGCGTAGCTCTCATTCTGTAACTACACTCAGGTAATTACAACAAGTCACAGTGTTCAGGACAGGAACAATGCTTTGTGCCACCTCTACCAGATGGCAGCAGATGCTGGGCTGCACTTTTCAAGGCCGTGATACTACTTTTTAATGTAAAAGTACTGTATAAGGTATGCTGTATAGACCTAGATAAGTATTTTCAATGAAGGTCGACTAAAAGCCATAAATCACAGTGAATGAGAATTTTGTTGTTGATGAATTCCATAGCCAGAATGTTGGAAGAGGTCTGATAGGCTAGTTGGATGCAGAACATTTCGTACTCAAGATATTGTAGTTTGCCAGCTGATTATTTGCTATATTAAAACATAACAGCACAACCTAACAATATATATATACATTTTAATTATTAGAAAATGAGCTATGTGTGAAAACACCTGTACACAATTTGACCATACCCTGGCTAGGCTAGATTGTCACATTAAGCTGGGTTGACTCTAAAACTGTGTGCCTTGTAGCATAGGGCATGACCATCATCCACCAGTTGTCAATGACAGTGACTGATGCATAGCCTAGATAATGAACAGCATCCACCAGGTGTTGTTGACACTGGAGCCAGCATCAACCAGGTGTTGTTGACACTGGAGCCAGCATCAACCAGTGTTGTTGACACTGGAGCCAGCATCAACCAGGTGTTGACACTGGGTCCAGCATCAACCAGGTGTTGACACTGGGTCCAGCATCAACCAGGTGTTGACACTGGGTCCAGCATCAACCAGGTGTTGACACTGGGTCCAGCATCAACCAGGTGTTGACACTGGGTCCAGCATCAACCAGGTGTTGACACTGGGTCCAGCATCAACCAGGTGTTGACACTGGGTCCAGCATCAACCAGGTGTTGACACTGGGTCCAGCATCAACCAGGTGTTGACACTGGGTCCAGCATCAACCAGGTGTTGACACTGGGTCCAGCATCCACCAGGTGTTGTTGACACCGGGTCCAGCATCCACCAGGTGTTGTTGACACTGGGGCCAGCATCCACCAGGTGTTGACACTGGGTCCAACATCCACCAGGTGTTGACACTGGGTCCAGCATCCACCAGGTGTTGATACTGGGGCCAGCATCCACCAGGTGTTGACACTGGGGCCAGCATCCACCAGGTGTTGACACCGGGTCCAGCATCAACCAGGTGTTGACACCGGGTCCAGCATCCACCAGGTGTCATTGGCAGCAGCTGTCACGGGGGTCTAGGAAGTGACTAACTTTTCCAAACTAAAAATCCATGTATTTCCTTGACCTTGAATGGCCGTTACCACTAAGACTAACCACAGCTCTGTAATCAAGACGTGTCCTTCAGCCACACCTCACTTCCCCTCATGTATCACTTCAAACTGATATTAATACTAAACTAAGCTGAGAAATAAGTGTCTCGACTCACTAAATATTAGTAATTATCAAGCTGGCACCGACGCCATCCCACCCTTGTTTACAGGCGTTCTTATATCCAGGTCAAGTTAAAAATATTGTGTTATTTTTTATTCAACACAAATGATGTTAATTACATAGCAATATAAATATTTCACAAGCCATATTTGTTAATAATATAATTAAGAACTTTTCGTAAGTATAATATAGACTTATTCTAGTAAAGCGTGAAGTAAACACTGGTTATGTGATGAGGATATATAAACAAATACATGTTATTGTTGCAGGAGAGGAAATTTTTGCTTCAAGTTATTAAATATTTTATTAATGTGGTTTTTATAAACATATAAGTTCAGGTGTAATAAAATTCTTTACGGTGCCTATCTTTTTTGGATTTGGTTAATTTATTTAAAGATATAAATGCATTAGATGGCCTCACAGGTATTGTAAATTAGAATAATTTAAGCATAAAAATTACATTTTTTTTTTACTTATATATTGTACTGCCATCTATCCCATCGACTTAGACTAGATGATACTTCAACGGCCTCGCTTCTTGCATGGTTGGTGTTCGATTCTCGGCCGATGGTCTAAATAATTAAGTGGTTGGCTAGCCTTAGTTAATTTGGTCTTTATTGATGAGGACAGGGCTGTATTTGTAATAGAGGCCACAAGTGTAGTTTGAACCCGGGAGGAAAGCGAGGCTCTGTTCTGTGGGGCTTGAACACTTATAGGTGTGGGACGTGTACTGATGATGTTGTTATTAATTTAGGGGCGACGACGATCGACGGGATGGGTATGGGGTGCATAATTAAGAAAGGAAATGAATTGAATTGGATGCGCCCCGGAGTACCCATATAGGGTAAGCAAATCCTAATGACGAAACGAAGACGCATAATCACTAGACACTAAAATGCCTCGCGTCAAAGAAACGTACAGAAAGGCAGATGATAGGGGAGCCCCAGGAGTCCCTCAGGGTGACAGGCACCAGCCCCGCCCCACACAGAGAACACCGGGTAGCAAACCCAAAAACTCGGCCCTCAGCTAAAATGCAAAAAGTCATCCGGTGTCCTCCAGAGCAGAAGCCAGCCGCCCACCACGACTGAGGGCACCGTCACCCCTGCCAGGAGAACCAGCCAGAAAACGTTCAAAATCTATCATCAATCCTGCTGTTTACCCGATGCGATTTTTTTAATTTCCATAAAAAACAAATAAAAGTCATCAGGTTCACAACATACAAGTCAAATTCTGACGTATTAAAGTTTACACAAGTGGGTATATGACTTACAGTCCACTTAACCATGTTCAAACCCATAATTCCAAACGTGTTTACATTTATATTACTGCTGTATGTTTATATATATATATATAATTATATAAGTATGTATGGTGCATGTGAGATGTGACATCACTATTGTTATGACTGTAATCCCTAGGCAAGGTTCGGATTCTGAGTCGAGAGCTTCGGCCAGCAGCAAAGACGCACTCATAATCTTCAACGCACTGTACATTCAAAAATACAAACGAAGCTGACTATATATACTGCAGTGGCGTGCACAGCAAGGCTCGGGTCAAGCTAGGCCGTGTGTGGCGAGGAGAATATGTATGGAGGGACGGCGTCCGAAGCAGTGTTCGAGCAAGGCGGGAAGACCATCATCAGCTGAGAGCGGCGTTGGAGGCTCTCGCCAGCAGCAGGGCGGCGGCTCCTCTTTATTTACGTTATTTACCTGTTATATGTGGCTTGTGCATGGTTATGTGACGTGTGACATTTCAAGTGTAACTCCCAGATAAGATAAAGAAGTAAGTACACACAGCCAGTCACTGTGAGTGGATGTTGTTGACAACAGTTGAGGTGTTGTCACTAGGGTGTTCTCCGAGGATTTAAAGTGTTACAATTGTTCCGAATACTTTTCTTAATCGTTTCTTGCCTAACAAGATTCTTAAACGTGCATAGTGGCTATCAGCGAAGAGTTTATTGTTAATTTTTATTATGCTCCTCGTACCCATTCTGTGGGGCGGTAGTGGAATAGATTAAAGGCACATAATGGGCTCAGGGAATGAACCCCCAAATTCCTTTAACTAAGCAAACAAAGCTTTTGATAAACTAGTTACAAAGTTATTATATTAGCAAAAGGTTCGAGGATAAGAGTAAGTAGTCTGTAGGCAAAGCAATTTGCTTATGTGGTGAGCTAGTTTCATAATTTGGTTTAACATGAAATTTGGTTTGTTTATTTACCTTCCCCTTCCGTCGAGTGGGCAGCGGTGTGGTAAGGTTACATTCACCCTTATTTACTACTTATCAAATCAAATCAAATCAAATGTTTATTTAGGTAAGGTACATACATACAAGAGATTTTACAAAGAGTGATGGATTTATAGATAGGGCTAGTACATATAATGCCTAAAGCCACTATTACGCAAAGCGTTTCGGGTATGAAAAACTTAAATGACTAAAGCTTAATACTAAAAGACTAAAGCTGTTAACCTACAGTTAGCAAGCGATATTTAGAACAGAATTTCTGGTAGTTGATAATTTTAACTGAAATATTTACACATTTCTTAAACATTCATTATAGAGCTGTCTCTAAATCCATGAATCTTTTTTCAGACTATCATATAGTGACGTAGTGAAAAGGGCGCAGTACCCTAGGATCGGAAATTCTGCTTCAAGTTCAAGTTTCTCCTGCTTCTCTTGAAGATATCTGGAGAGTAGAGGGTTTCAGCCTGGTGTGACCTCACTGTAGACGAAGTACCCTAGCCGTCTCGCCCTTCAAGGTAAGCAATACCTTGAAACTCAAGTGTCACACCTGAGCTGCTTATATATGTGGTTTAAAATGTGAATATTAATGAGGTGTTATATATGTGGTGTTTGAGGATTGAAATGTATAAAGGCCAGTGAGTAGTTCGCTCTCGTTCATTACAGGTAAGTTACCAATGACCTCGCTGGACAGAAATCAATTCCAGGTACGTTTCGATTTCCTTGTTCCCATAGGATTTTTTTTTCTCATTTATATAAGTAGTTACAAGGCTGCGTTCACACACAATTATTCTAGAAATACCAAAGCTATAGGGCCGTCAAATAATTTTTTCTTGGCTTTGGAGGCAATACTTTGTCATAATTATTATAGAGGTCTCGAGGTCATGTAGCAGGGTTTTGCGAGTATAAGAACCATCCACTTCAGCCATTGACACAGTAGGATAACTCCGCCTACTATTATGAAGCCCTATTGTGAAGGTTCTTGTTATCCAGCCTGTCATTTTTCTTGCAGTGGTGACGGCTACTTTATTGTGTTCTTTAAAGGTAAGGTCTCATGCCTTGATTACACCCATATCCTTTACATTGCGTATACATTATATGGTATGTTTTGACTGCGTTTTATACGTGGTTTCCGTTTTTATATTTTTTTCCATAGCGCAGGAGCTTGAATTAGTTCGTTAAATATCGTATTATTTTGTGTGGCCTATTGAAAGACCTGATTTGCATCAGTTTGGAGGTTTGCTGTGTCCTCTATGTTGCCTACTCTCATAGTTTACTCTCATAAAAATCGTAGTGTTAACAAAGGATGATACAGTACTATAGTTTGTGTCCTTGTCTAAGTCCTTTATGAGAATGCGAAAGAGTACTGGAATAATCACCGTATCCTGGGGGGACTGAACTCTTAATGGATTTTACTGTATTGACTATTACACCTAGCCTAGCGAGGCGTATCACGGAATCCGCCTCGCTTCAATACAGGAATAGGCTTCACTCTGTATTCTGATTTAGTTAGCGAGAACAATTCTATCCACTAGGATACAATAGGCTTCACTCTGTATTCTGATTTAGTTAGCGAGAACAATTCTATCCACTAAGATACAATAGGCTTCACTCTGTATTCTGATTTAGTTAGCGAGAACAATTCCATCCACTAGGATACAATAAAATTCTTAACAAATTAAATCGACAAACATTTATATTACGTAAAGCTCTGAAACCTAGAGTGAATTTAATATTGGATGTTGTATTGGAAATATGGTATTAGCATGTGCTGGGAGAGAGAGAACTGGCGGTAGCAACTCTTCCACAAATAAAGCCAAACAAACAAAATGAGCTTTATGGTTGAACAACTTGAGACCAATTAAACTTTTTATTTACACTTGGGAGCAACAGTGTGCTATCCCTCACAACTCTGAGCTACAGTTAATCAATTTTTTTTCCTACCCAACAGCGAAGCACATTTTCCCCTTCTTTGTCTTGTGATATGAGTTGATGACTGTGGTTTGGGGGAGAGGGGGGGGGTGTTGTGGCCCCTTGGCCTGGTTGTGGGTTGTTTTATGGCCGCGTTGGCCTGGTTGTGGGTGGTTTTATGGCCCCGTTGGCCTGGTTGTGGGTGGTTTTATGGCCCCGTTGGCCTGGTTGTGGGTGGTTTTATGGCCGCGTTGGCCTGGTTGTGGGTGGTTTTATGGCCCCGTTGGCCTGGTTGTGGGTGGTTTTATGGCCCCGTTGGCCTGGTTGTGGGTGGTTTTATGGCCCCGTTGGCCTGGTTGTGGGTGGTTTTATGGCCGCGTTGGCCTGGTTGTGGGTGGTTTTATGGCCCCGTTGGCCTGGTTGTGGGTGGTTTTATGGCCGCGTTGGCCTGGTTGTGGGTGGTTTTATGGCCGCGTTGGCCTGGTTGTGGTTTTATGGCCGCGTTGGCCTGGTTGTGGGTAGTTTTATGGCCCCGTTGGTCTGGTTGTTGGAGGTTTTATGGCCGCGTTGGCCTGGTTGTGGGTGGTTTAGGAGTCGGCAAGCTGGAAATCTTTCCTAACGATACCTGGTGTACATATAATAATAATTTATTCACAAGAAGGTACAATGGGTTGGTGAGATACATGAGAGTGGTATTTGTACATTCTTGCAAAGTCACTAACAAGCATAGCGTCTCGGACAGGTCCTTAATCTAACATATCAGCTAAGATGAATGGGGTACATTGTAACAAGGTTTTATATCAACTACAGTATAAATTGACAGTGATTACACTGGTAAAGATTCATGTCTTAAGTACTAATATTGGGGGAGTGGGTAGTACAAGATACAGTGTGAGTTTGAAGCACATGGTAGGAAACTATGAGGATAAAATCAGATACTTTTTAGTTTTATTTTTGAACAGGGAATTGGTTGGACAATTTATTAATTCGTCAGGGAGTGAGTTCCAAAGACTGGGCCCTTTTATTTACATGGAGTGTTTGCACTGGGGATAACAAACATATTTATTTCTGGTGTGGTGCTCATGGGTTCTATTACATCTATCAAGGAAAAGTTTCAGATCAAGATTAGCATTTAGGAACAAAGTTTTGTACATGTCAATAGCACATGAGAATGTTTGGAGTATATGTTTTAGCATGTTAAGGGACTTAAACAGAGGGGCTGTGAGTTGTCTGAAGACAGAATTTGTTATAGTTCTGATAACGTATTTTTATTGAGTGATGATAGGATTGAGATAATTTGCAGTGATTGAACCCCATGTACACATACCGTATGTAAGATAGGGGTAGCTTAGCGCGTAGTATAATGGGAGGAGAGCAGAGTGGGGAACATAATATATGATTTTAGAAAGTATACCGTCCGTTTTTGAGACTTTCTTCGGCTGTGTGTTGTATGTGGTGCTGAAGTTCTGTCTCTTGTCTATGTATTGACCAAGGAACTTTTCCCTATTTTTATTGCTAATGTTAACATTGTCTATCTGAAGTTGAATTTGATTTGATAATTTACTAATAAGTACAATGTAATAAGTCTATGTTTACTGTGAGTTTGTTGGTTGACATCCATGAGTGGACTTTTTAAATTCATTATTAGCAATATTATTTAGTGTGTGGGGATTGGGGACAGAATAGATAAAGGTAGTATCGTCAGCAAATAATATTGGTTTAACATTTAAGAATGTTAGAAACATTGACAAATCATTAATGTATATAAGAATTAGAAGAGGTTCTAAGATGCTGCCCTGTGGCACTCCTACTGTTAATGGTAGAGTGGGGGAGGCTATGCTATTGATGGCTACATATTGGTGTCTGTCACTGAGATAACGAATATAGTTCAGAGCAAGGCCTCAGATATCATAGTGGTGAAGTTTTAAGAGGTAGTTATGGTTTACAGTATCAAAGGCCTTTCTCAGGTCAATGAAGAGGCCAATTGGGAACTCATTTTTGTCAATGGCTGTGTAGATTATATTAAGCAGACTAATTATGGCAGAAAGAAACTGAAGAATCATTGGTACTCTTTTTGGAACGCATGCCAAACTGGCAGGGATTTAATATATTGAGTTATTCAAAGGAATAGAGCTCTCTGTAAATAATTTTTTTTCAAATAATTTTGAAAATATAGGTAGATTTGATATTCTGTAATTATTTATGTCACCTTGTCTCGCCTCCTTTATGAACTGGCGTCACTCTTGCTTTTTAATATCAGGAAAAGTATGACACTAGAAATTTGTTGAAAATAACAGAGCCATGGGTAATGCAAGAACAGAGGCAGCACCCATTTATATCATAGATGGTATTTCATTAATGTTCCCAGCGTTGGTTTTAAGCGATTGAATTATGGATAAAATGTCTGTCGGACTGACTGGTAAAAGGAGTAGGAAGAGTTAGAACAGCTGCCGATGAGATATGTAGGAACATGTGTCTGAGTCTCTGGGATTTTTCTGGCAAGGTTAACACCAATTGATGAAAAGAAGCTATTGAATTCGGTTGCAATTTCTGAGTCTGTTGCAAGTGTGTAACCATCTTAGCAGAGTCTTAGCCGTTTGTTATGGGATTGTTGTTTAAATCCTAGGATGTTAAAAATGGATTTCCATGTACTTTTCATATTTCCTTTAGCTTCTTTAAATTTATTCTCATAAAAGGAAACTTTGGCTCTTAGTATTGACATTCGTATATAACTCGCACAGGAGAAGAGCCTCACTGAGAGTGTAGACATATCAGACATCAAAGCTTAGTTTTTCTTCTGCGTGTCTCGGTTTTCATTCTTCTTTCGGATACTTCTTTAACATACGTGTTCCAAGACATTTATACGTGCCTAGGATACTTCTTCGTGTCCACGGTTACTTCTCCGTGTCCCAAGATACTTCTCCGTGTCCCAAGATACTTCTCCGTGTCCCAAGATACTTCTCCGTGTCCCAAGATACTTCTCCGTGTCCCAAGATATTTCTCCGTGTTCCAAGATATTTCTCCGTGTCCCAAGATACTTCTCCGTGTCCCAAGATACTTCTCCGTGTCCCAAGATACTTCTCCGTGTCCCAAGATACTTCTCCGTGTCCCAAGATATTTCTCCGTGTCCCAAGATATTTCTCCGTGTCCCAAGATACTTCTACGCGTTGCGCGATACTTAAGTCATTGTGTCGGGGGACATGAAGCCATGTTATACATATGGTACATGTTAGGGGCGGGAGGGAGGGCCTCAGTATAAGTCAATCCCTAGGGTCGAATTACTGACCCTCCCCCCCCCCCCCACCCACGATGCAGCCCCACAACAAGCTAACTCCTGGGTACATATTTACTGCTAGGTGGATAGGATGGATATTACGATATCAACACTTTATATGGCGTGAGGTGTGGTGATATCGACGCCATCTATGGACCTGCACGCCAACTCCAAGGTATTATGTAAGACAAAGACAATGCCATCTGTTGGCGGAGGTGTGGCATCTGTGACAGGCTCCTGTTCCATACCTCAGGAGGTGAGGTCGATGATGATGTCCTCTGGTGAGTGAAGTAACGATATCAACGCCATCTAGATTGTGCATTCGATTACATTTTCAAGTTCCCCGGTAAAAGGGTGCCATCCAATGTTCTCCTTGTATACTTTCAGTCTGGCTAATGACTTTCATGTCCACAGAGGTAACGTGGAGTGTCTATTGCACTGTGGAAGTTCACCTCGGGCAGTCCCGAACTCCTGACTTGTTCCTGTGAGAGGACAAGTGGCCGCCGTCGGTAGTAGCAGTGTTGTGTGGACCGACGTACCCGGGATTAGACCAAGAGGAGTTACAAGACGACAGTAGCGGCCGTCTGCTGAGAAGTGCTGCTTGTGTGTTGCTAAGGACTTCTGCCAGGGTGTTTAAGGACCACCAGGGTGTTTAGATTAAGGACCTGCCCAAAACGTGATGCATGCTAGTTATTGTTAGTTAAATGTTAGTCGCACACCCTCCGTCACTATGTGATGGAGTGCGAAACGATACGTGAATTCAGAGACAATTCTATAACATGTTCCAGAGATGTGTAAATATTTCATTAAATTGATCTGCTACAAGAAATTATAGCCAAATATCCCCAGTTTGCTAACTGTAGGTAGTAACTAAGTGATTGTAACCTATCCACTTAGGTGTAACCTATCGATGGGGGGGGGGGGAGTGTGCAGGACAAACATAGCAATTGTAACACTAGATGTCCACATATGTCAGTTGCTTAATTTAGAAACTGTACTTGTGGTCGATCTCGAACTCATTGATGTTGTGACGATATATATATTGAATTTTGTAACTAAACAAGATTGTAACGTGTTTAGCTAAATGAATTATGGGGTTCAGTCCCTGAGCCCATTATGTGCCTCTGTGACCCTTTCCACTATCACCCACAAGATGGGTATGGGGTGCATAATAAATGAACTAAACTGTTAGCGCGTGTTGCTGAAGCCTCTGCCAGTGTGCTTCTGGAGAGCAGATGTTGGGTACTGAGACATCGTGACGATACGGTGTGTGGACTGGCCCATGTTGGAGGTGAACCCGCCGGTGATTACCATTGAGAGTGAACGACGTGTACTTGAAGATTGTAGACTCACCGGGTTTTGAAGAACACTATAGATGTATTAAGTGTCCTGTGTGAAAGCGACACTGTGTACATAAATGTAGTTATACTTCAATAGGTAATATATTGGTGAAGGTGTAATTGCGTCTTATTTACCCATTTATTTCTTGCACAATCACTTGCTACCGCCAATTCTTGAGAACTTATCATTGACTTGGGGTGAGAAGAAGTGGCCCTAAGGCATATTACTCAGAAAGAACCCGGTTACTGGCTCAAGCAGGCCGTAACAATGCATGAGGTGAAAAGAGACGTGCCCAACCATTTCTGTGCCTCCAAGGATTCGAACCCGAAATTCTCGATTGTGAGTGGAGAACGAACCCGACTGTACCACCGGGACCTGAGACACTTATGCAGGAGACAAACCCTTTCACTGATACTAGTGTCACGTATGATTTATGTATAAAAATAATACGAAGGGAGGGGGGTATGTAAATACACAGGCCCCTAAGTTGTGTGTATGTAGATACACACAACTCTCACTACGTTTGAGTAAAATTACCAGAAGAGCTTCAAAGATCAGTGTAATCTCAACGACCATACAGAGGTTCTCAGGAGTAAAATCCCCTTGGTTCTCAGGAGTAAAATCCCCTTGGTTCTCAGGAGTAAAATCCCCTTGGTTCTCAGGAGTAAAATCCCCTTGGTTCTCAGAATCCGAACATGTTTTGAACACAAACTGTTCTTAAAATGTAAAATAAAAATATATACAAAGATTTTTGCTTAGCGTAGTGAACCCTTTAAGGCAAATGTTGACCTTATACGTGAGGTACAGATTACCACAAACCTCTGGACGGGTAATATACTCGACACTTCACACTGGAGAGAAGCCATACTCGACAGTTCACACTGGAGAGAAGCCATACTCGACACCTCACACTGGAGAGAAGCCATACTCGACAGCTCACACTGGAGAGAAGCCATACTCGACACCTCACACTGGAGAGAAGCCATACTCGACACCTCACACTGGAGAGAAGCCATACTCGACACCTCACACTGGAGAGAAGCCATACTAGACACCTCACACTGGAGAGAAGCCATACTAGACACCTCACACTGGAGAGAAGCCATACTCGACACCTCACACTGGAGAGAAGCCATACTAGACACCTCACACTGGAGAGAAGCCATACTCGACACCTCACACTGGAGAGAAGCCATACTAGACACCTCACACTGGAGAGAAGCCATACTAGACACCTCACACTGGAGAGAAGCCATACTAGACACCTCACACTGGAGAGAAGCCATACTAGACACCTCACACTGGAGAGAAGCCATACTCGACACCTCACACTGGAGAGAAGCCATACTAGACACCTCACACTGGAGAGAAGCCATACTCGACACCTCACACTGGAGAGAAGCCATACTAGACACCTCACACTGGAGAGAAGCCATACTCGACACCTCACACTGGAGAGAAGCCATACTAGACACCTCACACTGGAGAGAAGCCATACTAGACACCTCACACTGGAGAGAAGCCATACTCGACAGCTCACACTGGAGAGAAGCCATACTCGACAGCTCACACTGGAGAGAAGCCATACTCGACAGCTCACACTGGAGAGAGAAGCCATACTCGACACCTCACACTGGAGAGAAGCCATACTCGACAGTTCACACTGGAGAGAAGCCATACTCGACACCTCACACTGGAGAGAAGCCATACTCGACAGCTCACACTGGAGAGAAGCCATACTCGACAGCTCACACTGGAGAGAAGCCATACTCGACAGCTCACACTGGAGAGAGAAGCCATACTCGACACCTCACACTGGAGAGAAGCCATACTCGACACCTCACACTGGAGAGAAGCCACCAGCTTGTGACCAACGTACTCAAATATTTCACTGCAGAAATAGTGGCGTTTCACATTTTATGACCTTGTAATATACCAAAATGCCAACCAAAGATTAAAGAGGTTAATTTGAACACAGATTCTCTCTCTCTCTCTCTCTCTCTCTCTCTCTCTCTCTCTCTCTCTCTCTCTCTCTCTCTCTCTCTCTCTCTCTCTCTCTCTCTCTCAGGCGTGATGGTGGAGATGTCAATACCATCAGCTGTGTAGTAATAGTTTAATTAGTAGTGATGGTTGTATTTGACACACTATTACCTTGTTTAGCTGTGGTGGCTGGGGTGATGGTGTAGGGGAAACATATCACTCCCCTAGCTGGCCTTGTTGACACATCTACACCATAACATCATCAAAAACACGCCAATAAATAGTTACTGTACTGCAGGTTATCTGTAAATGGTGAGTGTAAATTTTGTCAGTGCTCGGTCAGAGAGTGGAGAGGCAGGAAGCAGTTTTGGACCCGAATATTAATAGGTATCGGGTGAAGGCCAGAGGCACAGTTGTAGGTCATATGTGAACAATGCAATAATAATGACGTCTGGTTTGACTGGTAGCGTCGGCCATTGTCACCACTTATTTTATAACACACACACGTTGGGTATAGTATTGATGTGATGGTGCACAGGGGTGGAGACTGTGTCCAGTAGATCATGTGTGTGTGTGTGTGTGTGTGTGTGTGTGTGTGTGTGTGTGTGTGTATGTGTGTGTGTGTGTGTGTGTGTGTGTGTGTGTGTGTGTGTGTGTGTGTGTGTGTGTGTGTGTGTATGACGAAAGTTAATACGTGGTGAAAAGTGTGACAGTGTCAGAGCACGGAGGAAGAATTGAAACAGGAATTTCCTAAAGTACTTTCGTATATTATTACATCTTCAGAAGGATTCCTTCTGAAGATGTATTAATATTGGAAAGTACTTTAGAAAATTCCTGTTTTAATTCTTCCTCCGTGCTCTGACACTGTCATATATATATATATATATATATATATATATATATATATATATATATATATATATATATATATATATATGTGTGTGTGTGTGTGTGTAACTACGAAGGGAAACTGAAGCAAGAAATTAATTTAATGCTCTCGTGTTTATCAACACATCTTCAAAAATACAAACCATGAAAGACAATACTTGAATATATAGGCAGGAAAAAGGTAACTTGTAAGGAGAAAAAACACTGATATTGTAATATTAGCTAAGATAAGCAGAGGAGGAAACTGCAGAAGACCTAATGACCAATACTTGTTTATTTCCAAAAGCAATATCCGTAGTGCGATAGATGTCTTTGTAATTTGTATTAAAACAAATCCAATAATGTTTCTATTGAAAATGATTTTACAGTTTGTTATTAAGGAAGACCTCTCCCATTAATTTGTTGAGAATTTTCTAACAAATGGATAGAACTTTTTGGCCACTTCTTACAGAATATTTATGCTGCGAAAATCGAAATGTTAAAACTTTGGAAGTTTGGTCAATGTATAATGCATTACAATCTTTACAGTATATTGTGTAAATGATAGTTATCACTACGAGGGCTGTTTCTAACTAGTTCTAACAGTATTAACATTAACAGTTAAAACAGTATTAACAACAGTTCAAACAGTATTAACAACAGTTCAAACAGTATTAACAACAGTTCTAACAGTATTAACAACAGTTCTAACAGTATTAACAACAGTATTAACAACAGTTCTAACAGTATTAACAACAGTTCTAACAGTATTAACAACAGTATTAACAACAGTTCAAACAGTATTAACAACAACTGCTGCAATAGTTAGTAATGACAACGTCTGATCACAGACATAATAACATAGGATAAAACACCCACACATGTATTCATATCCTTACATACAATACATAAATACATGTATGGCTTTTTGATCCCGCTCACAATAGCGGTGTGAATGCTAACAATAGCAATATTAACAGCCCCAAGAGCGGCAACACGGCCCAGAGGTCGCGCGTTGCTTTTGTTTAAAACATTTTAATAGTGATAATTATGTTAATTGTGTTTACTGATTGACGAGAGACTGCCGACATGTTGGATAAGTCCTTCTCGCCCTCAGTTCAAAATAATATTTTTTTTTTCTAAAAAAATATTGGCTCAAACTTTAAATTGGCTCACCGCTGTGCTAATTACCAAACTGCCGACAACCACAGTTGCAAAAAAAAAACTGGAATAACGACGCAAACAATGAAAATAAAACTGACCAAACAAATGCAACAAGAACAAACACAATGACAGGACAAATACGTCAATTAATACAAGTTAAAATCGTTTGAGGAAACTGTGACAATTACCACCAGTGTTGCTGTGGCAACACTGGTGGTATTACCAGTGTTGTGGCAACACTGGACTGGTATTACCACCAATGTTGTGTTGACTTAGTAAGCTGGTCCCCGCTAACTTTGCTGTATACGAATTATGTTGTTTAATCCGCTACGGAGGTCCTCTGTAACTCTTCCTGTAGACCAGACCTCAACACACACACACACACACACACACACACACACACACACACACACACACACACACACACACACACACACACACACAGGAAGAACAAAACAATCGATGAGAAACAAGAAGAGGTCACGGAAGTAATTATTTGTAGAGCATTATTATGAGGAGGGAAGGAGAAAGAACAGAATAACTGATGTGTGTGAGTGTGTGTGTGTGTGTGTGAGAGAGAGAGAGAGAGAGAGAGAGAGAGAGAGAGAGAGAGAGAGAGAGAGAGAGAGAGAGAGAGAGATACATTTCACTCTATATAATTCCAGCAATGTAATTACTGTCATATTTGCCTGCCAGCCAACGTCAGTTATTAAAACGTGGCTTATTTTGTGTAATGTGATGAAATATAGCTCTCTCTCTCTCTCTCTCTCTGTCAATAAAAACACACTGGAAATAGCCCATTCCTCGCTTCATATGGAAATTATACTCCGGATTTAATATAATTACAATTAAAATAAATTTCTGATGTTCATATTTTCATCTGTATATTAATAACACTTTCCACCAGTTTGAATGAACCAGAATTCCCGTATCGTAAACACGGAGTAACTGTTGCTCTTTGTAGTAAACAAAGATCAGCTGTTGCTTGTGGTGGTAAACACAGATCAGCTGTTGCTCGTGTTAGTAAATAAAGATCAGCTGTTGCTGTCATTAGCAGGCAAAATAAAACGTTTTACTGTTAGCATTTAAAGATTTAAACTTTAACACGGAACTTAATTGTATGGCATTAAAAGTCTGTTCACTTGCGGCATTTAAACATAATTTCTGCGGGCATTTAAATTGTTATCACACACACACACACACACACACACACACACACACACACACACACACACACACACACACACACACACACACACAGGGCCGGTGGCTGAGTGAACAGCACGCTGGACACGTAATTCTGTGGTCCGGGGTTCGATTCCCGGCGCCGGCGAGAAACAATGGGCAGAGTTTCTTTCACCTTGATGCCCCTGTTACCTAGCAGTAAATAGGTACCTGGGAGTTACACAGCTGTTACGGGCTGCCTTCTATGTGTGTGTGTGGGGGGGGGGGAATTGTAGTTAGCAACAGTTGATTGACAATTGAGAGGCGGGCCGAAAGAGCAGAGCTCAACCCCCGCAAACACATCTAGGTGAATGCACACACACACACACACACACGAGCCACAGAGACATTAGAAAGAACATTTCAGTGTCAGAGTTGTTAGTAAATGGAATGCATTGAACAGTGATGTGGTGGAGGCTGACTCCATACACACTTTCAAATGTAGATATGATAGAGCCCAGTAGGCTCAGGAACCTGTACACCAGTAGATTGACGATTGAGAGGCGGGACGAAAGAGCCGAAGCTCAACCCCCGCAAGCACAGTTATATGAATACAACTAGGTGAATACACACATACACACAGTAAATTTATGCACCAAAAAATAAACAAGCTAGCGCCCCATTTCAACCTCAACCATAAAAAAGTAATTGGACTAATGCGTCCCTAACCGGCCATTAATGTGACGTATCGCGGCAGCACCTCGTTAAACGCTTCACAAAATCCGACCTCCGCACAACCCGCCTCCGACTACTATTACCCATTCACATTTTGGACAGTGTTTAAGGCAGGTGGTCAAATCATTCACATTTCTGTACACTAGTTGGTAGTGGCTCTATGTTCTTGAATTATAATTATTTGTTATTATTGCTATTATTATTATTTTTATGGTTATTATTATTAGTATTTTGTACACTTGTATACTACTCACAGCTGATTTTTGTTTACGATTACCACTCACAGCTGACATTTGTTTACCAACGTCAGTAACAGCTGATCTTTGTTTACTAACACCACTCACAGCTGATTTTTGTTTACGAATACCACTCACAGCTGACATTTGTTTACCAACGTCAGTAACAGCTGATCTTTGTTTACTAACACCACTCACAGCTGATTTTTGTTTACTAATACCACTCGCAGCTGACATTTGTTTACCAACGTCAGTAACAGCTGATCTTTGTTTACTAATACCACTCACAGCTGATTTTTGTTTACTAATACCACTCATGGCTGATTTTGTTTACCAATACTTCTTACAACTGATCTATGTTTGCTAATACCATTTACAGGGGTAATCTTGTTTACTGATACTACTTACAGCTGATCTTTGTTTTCTAATACCGCTTACAGCTGATCTTTGCTTACTAAAACCACTCACAGCTGATCTTTGTTTACTAACACCATTCACAGCTGATCTTGTTTACAGATATCACTCATTACTGATCTTTGTTTACTAAAATCAATCACAGCTGATCTTTGTTTACTAACACCATTCACAGCTGATCTTTGTTTACTAACACCATTCACAGCTGATCTTTGCTTACTAAAACCACTCACAGCTGATCTTTGTTTACTAAAATCAATCACAGCTGATCTTTGTTCTTTACTAACATCTCTTACAACTGATCTTGTTTATATTAAAACAACAATTAATGTTTATTTACTTAAACCGACAAGACCTGAGCTTTGCTACTGGCAATAATATTCCTTAAAGACTCATATTCCGGATGATTCAAATTGATGGAAACTGTTTTTAATGAGTAAATGACAGTTTGAACATACGAGACTCATTTTACTTGTAAAAATATTAAATCCGGGAGGTAATTTGCATATGAAGCGAGGATTGAGCATTTTAAAATATATATTTTTCCATACAGAGATCCAGAGATATATTTCAGCACATTATTACACTATATAAGTCGAAATATATTAATTTTAGTTCATTGTCTGGGCCAAAAAAATATGCTAATTAGGTATACTTTTTAGTGATACATAATGGGACTTGCACCTTTAGGCACTCAGATATATAGATATTGAACTTATCAGGGAGAAGTTCAGAACGTTTTTATGAACATTGAGTCTGTCACTAGTTGAAGGGCATGGTAATTGTCTTTAGAGCTTGTTGAAGGGCATGGTAATTGTCTTTAGAGCTTGTTGAAGGGCATGGTAATTGTCTTTAGAGCTTGTTGAAGGGCATGGTAATTGTCTTTAGAGCTTGTTAAAGGGTATGGTAATTGTCTTCAGCACTAGTTGAATACCAAATATACAAAGATTACGTTTCTAAGACGTCTCAATATACTCGAATACCAGCATTTTCAGCGTCATGTTTGATCAAGATATAGTCGGTGTTCCTTGTGGTACAGTGGCTATGCTACTCGCCTCGCACGTGAGGGGACCTGGGTTCGAACCCTGGGCAGGGATGATCCAGCCCTCCCTCCCTCAGCCTCTTTTTCTCCATTTACTAATCCGTAAAAAAATGTAAATGTTTCGCCTAATCAGAAACGCACGAATACCAGACAACCCGCATAATATATCGAGGCCATGGCACAGAAAACGTCAATATTACGGTGCTGTAAGTTTTACTAATTCGTCGCATTTTTAACGGAATGGTCGATTGCCAACAAAATTACGACGTCATTGGAGATCTGGAGGAATTATTACGAATGGGAGGTGTTTAGGCTGGGACGTGGCAGTGAGCCTGGGGCCAGATTCACGAAAACACTTACGAACCTGTACATCTTTTCACAATCTTTGGCGGCTTTGTTTACAATTATTAAACAGTTAATTATCTCCGAAGCACCAGGAGGATGTTTATAACAATAACAACAGTTGATTGGGAAGTTTTCACGCTTGTAAACTGTTTAATAAATGTAACCAAAGCCGTCAAAGATTGAGGAAAGTTGTACACGTTCGTAAGTTCTTGCGTAAGAACCTTCGTGAATCTGGCCCCCTGGCTTCAGACTCTAATCCCCTCGTTACTATATCCAGGTCACTAAAAAGGACATTTAGTATGATATAGTACGGTATAGCTATATTGCTCTAGCTCAGCAATGTAGCTATACCACTTATCATTAACTATTACATCATGGTAAAGCTATAACAAGCACGATATATATCCATATCGCAAGAGATACTTAGCTATCACCGCGAGTTTAGAACTTGAAAGTCTGAATTTATATTGAGTCAAAATTCATCTCATATTTACACATAATTTATGTATCTTTGACAGCGACATATATTTATACGGTTCTCCAAATAACCCCAAACATTTACGTGAATGATATTTGAACTCGACACTAAGTGGATTACTTGTCATAAACTTGTCCATATATCATGGTAACTCAAGATGTATTTGAAGGAAAAATTCTTCTGAATATTTTGGTATATGTCTTCCTGTGTCTGAACACCATTTTGGGGGTAGTTTTATCTTGGGGGGGGGGGGGGGGGGGGGGGGGGATTTATCCTGTTTTTTTTTTTCTCGGGGTTTAAGAAGTTTTTAGAGGCATGACGAGATTTTGAGGACATAACCAACTTTTGAGGACATAAGCAGCTTTTGAGGACATAAGCAGCTTTTGAGGACATAAGCAGCTTTTGAGGACATAACCAACTTTTGAGGACATAAGCAGCTTTTGAGGACATAAGCAGCTTTTGAGGACATAAGCAGCTTTTGAGGACATAACCAGCTTTTGAGGACATAAGCAGCTTTTGAGGACATAAGCAGCTTTTGAGGACATAACCAACTTTTGAGGACATAACCAACTTTTGAGGACATAATCAGCTTTTGAGGACATAACCAACTTTTGAGGACATGACCAACTTTTGAGGACATAACCAACTTTTGAGGACATAATCAGCTTTTGAGGACATAACCAGCTTTTGAGGACATAACCAACTTTTGAGGACATAATCAGCTTTTGAGGACATAACCAACTTTTAAGGACATAACCAACTTTTGAGGACATAACCAACTTTTAAGGACATAACCAACTTTTGAGGACATAACCAACTTTTGAGGACATAACCAACTTTTGAGGCCAGCTGTTAGGGCCGTAGCTGTGAACATCTTAGTGTCAAGCCTTCCACAATGGTGGTAGTGTAGACTATTATTTTATGCATACGGTGCTCCCACCCCTCAACACATATACACTGCCTCTGTGTGTATAGGTACACTGAGAGGCGGAGTGGAGGTACCAGTGTGTGTGCAGTATACCTCTCAGTGTACAGACGTTGAGAGGCAGTATTTAGGGTAAAAAGGTAGGAAGGGATGTTAAATTATCCTAGGGTTAAGGCTTCCAACTGGATGACATTTTATTTTTATGTTGTAGGAGGTCTGTCTGTCTGTCTCTCTCTCTCTCTCTCTCTCTCTCTCTCTCTCTCTCTCTCTCTCTCTCTCTCTCTCTCTCTCTCTCTCTCTCTCTCTCTCTCTCTCTCTCTCTCTCAACTCACATTACCTACATCAAAGATTTTGACTATTGGTGTATGGTGATATGATATTCCCTGATCAGCAAGAAAGACATACACGTCGTGTATACCACATACCGCGCCCGTATGCTGTGTGGTATACAACATTGGAAGCTTGCGGGAGCCTGTCGGATCCGCTTCAGCTTGTCTGGCGTGTGTTTGGGTTCCTTGTCTCCTCCAGAGCAAACAAACATATGTTTTGTTTGATGTTGGGAGATGTTTACATGGCTCTCAGCTGGCTTCCTTTGTGTTCCTCCTTGCCTCCTAGTCGTCGTAGCGGGGTGGTGAGTCAGTGTGGGGGGTGGTGAGTCAGTGTGGGGGTGGTGAGTCAGTGTGGGGGATGTGTGTCAGTGTGGGGGGGTGGTGAGTCAGTGTGGGGGGTGGTGAGTCAGTGTGGGGGGGTGGTGAGTCAGTGTGGGGGGTGGTGAGTCAGTGTGGGGGGTGGTGAGTCAGTGTGGGGGGTGGTGAGTCAGTGTGGGGGTGGTGAGTCAGTGTGGGGGTTGTGTGTCAGTGTGGGGGGTTGTGTGTCAGTGTGGGGGGTGGTGAGTCAGTGTGGGGGGTGGTGAGTCAGTGTGGGGGGTGGTGAGTCAGTGTGGGGGTGGTGAGTCAGTGTGGGGGGTTGTGTGTCAGTGTGGGGGGGTGGTGAGTCAGTGTGGGGGGTGTGAGTCAGTGTCAGTCAGTGGGGGGTTGGTGAGTCAGTGTGGGGGGTGGTGAGTCAGTGTGGGGGTGGTGAGTCAGTGTGGGGGGATGTGTGTCAGTGTGGGGGGGTGGTGAGTCAGTGTGGGGGGTGGTGAGTCAGTGTGGGGGGTGTGAGTCAGTGTGGGGGGTGGTGAGTCAGTGTGGGGGTGGTGAGTCAGTTTGGGGGTTGTGTGTCAGTGTGGGGGGGTGGTGAGTCAGTGTGGGGGGGTGGTGAGTCAGTGTGGGGGTGGTGGTGTGTCAGTGTGGGGGTGGTGAGTCAGTGTGGGGGTGTGGGGGGGGTGAGTCAGTGTGGGGGTGTGGTGAGTCAGTGTGGGGGGTTGTGAATCAGTGTGGGGGGGGGTGAGTCAGTGTGGGGGTGGTGAGTCAGTGTGGTGAGGGGGTGGTGAGTCAGTGTGGGGGGGGTGGTGAGTCAGTGTGGGGGGTGTGTGAGTCAGTGTGGGGGTGGTGAGTCAGTGTGGGGGTGGTGAGTCAGTGTGGAGGGGTGGTGAGTCAGTGTGGGGGTGGTGAGTCAGTGTGAGGGGGTGGTGAGTCAGTGTGAGGGGGTGGTGAGTCAGTGTGTGTGGTTGTGAGAGTCGCTACTACAGTTTGTTTGATCTAGATGAATGATTTAAAGGTCAACTTCATGCATATTTTGTTTTAGACCCGACTGTTGTGTGGAGAAGACCTCGGTTAAGACGGCTCCTCTACCTTCTTCCAGTGTTGTGTGGAGGAGAAGACCTTGCTTTAAAGACGTTCCTACCTTTGTCTTAGTCTTTCTTCACCTTCCTTATCCTCCTCCTCCTTGCTTCTCCTCCTCTTTCTTGCTTTTTTCTCCTCTTCTTCCTTGCTTTTTCTCCTCTTTCTTGCTTTTTCTCCTCTTTCTTGCCTTTTCTCCTCTTTCTTGCCTTTTCTCCTCTTTTCTTGCTTTTTCTCCTCTTTCTTGCTTTTTCTCCTCTTTCTTTCTTGCTTTTTCTCCTCTTTCTTGCTTTTTCTCCTCTTTCTTGCTTTTTCTCTCTCTTTCTTGCTTTTTCTCCTCTTTCTTGCTTTTTCTCCGAATTTCTCTTGTTTGTAATATGTGTTTTCTGGTGCTTGAAGCCTCTCCTCCACTTCTTCGCTACTCCTCTCTTCCTTCTTGACTCCTCTTCTCTCCTGCTGCTCCCTCTGCTCTTTCTCTTCATGACAATGGTCAACAAATAATTACTTCCGTGACCTCTTCCTATTTATGTGTCTTTTTGTTCTGTGTGTGTGTGTGTGTGTGTGTGTGTGTGTGTGTGTGTGTGTGTGTGTGTGTGTGTGTGTGTGTGTGTGTGTGTGTGTTCACCCAGATATGCCTGCACGGGCATATGCATTAGGGGGTGATGTGGTGGAGGCTGACTCCATACACAGTTTCAAGTGTAGATATGACAGAGCCCGATAGGCTCAGGAATCTGTACACCTGTTGATTGACGGTTGAGAGGCGGGACCAAAGAGCCAGAGCTCAACCCCCGCAAACACAACTAGGTGAGTACAACTAGGTGAGTACGGGCGACTATTAGCTCTGCAGCCCCACCTTTCCAGTCACTAATCGGTTATCAGAGTGACACGTAATCTTCAAGTTTCTCGGTGTCATTTTTAAGGGCGTTGCTTATTGATCTGGCACTGGGCAAGGACTTGCTGGCAACCCTTACTGTAAACAAGTGTTTCCTGTCATCCTCCCAGGGGGACACTACCTCTCCCAGCATCACCACAAGACACATCACTCACCTCAAGACTGACAGACATTGTCGTCCCACTCTCCTCCTAGTCACTATGCAACGCAGACATCTCTGGTCTTAGCATTTTTGGTTACAATGTCTTAACTTACAATAACAAGGAAGGATAATGTATGAGATATATGTAATATATTAACCCCTATCACTATACTGTCACTATCTGAACACTACTATCACCATACAACCACAACATTACACACTTCACCATACAACCACAACATTACACACTTCACCATACAACCACAACATTACACACTTCACCATACAACCACAACATTACACACTTCACCATACAACCACAACATTACACACTTCACCATACAACACCATCACACACTCCACCATAAGTGGTGAATCATGCATAGTAACGTAAATAATTCATATGATATGAGAGGGCCTTCAGGTGGTCCAATACTCGGGGACCAGACGGTGTACTCATCTAGTTGTGCTTGCGGGGGTTGAGCTCTGGCTCTTTGGTCCCGCCTCTCGACTGTCAATCTACTGGTGTACAGGTTCCTGAGCCTACTGGGCTCGTATCATATCTACATTTGAAACTGTGTATAGAGTCAGCCTCCACCACATCACTGCCTAATGCATTCCATTCCATTAACAACTCTGACATTGAAAACGTTTTTTCTAATGTCTCTGTGGCTCATTTAGGTACTCAGGTTTTACTTGTGTTCCCTTGTTCGATTATCAGCCGTGTTAAATAATCTGTCTTTATCTACCCTGGCAATTCATCTTATAATTATAGATGTAGTAATCATGTGTCATCGAACTCTTCTGTTTTCCAGCGACGTGAAGTGCATTTCCCTTATCCTTTCCTCGTAACTCATACCTCTTAGTTCTGGGACTAGTTTAGTGGCATTCCTTTGAACCTTCTCCAGCTTCGTCTTATGCTTGACAAGGTAAGGACTCCATGCTGGAGCCGCATAATCCAGGATTGGTCTGACATATGTGGTATACACAGTTTTAAATTATTACAAAATAAAATGTCTAAAAGCAGTTCTAATGTTAGACGGCCTCGTATACGCCGCTGATGATATCGTTTCGATGTGGGCTTTAGAAGACAGGATCGGCGTGATATCAACTCGTAGATCTTTCTCTCTGTCAGTTTCGTGAAGGACTTCGTCTCCCATTCAGTACCCTGTGTCTGGTCTCCTGTTTCCACCACCAAGATTCATTGCTTTACATTTACTTGGGTTGAACTTTAGCAGCCCTTTGTTAGAACATTCCTTCAGTTTGTCGAGGTCATCTTGTAGCCTCTTGCTATCGATCTCGGTCTTAATCCTCATCACTTTGGCATCATCAGCAGACATTGAGAGGAACAAGAGGAACGAGTGTGTGTGTTTACTAGTTGTGTTTACTAGTTGTGTTTTTGCGGGGGTTGAGCTTTGCTCTTTCGGCCCGCCTCTCAACTGTCAATCAACTGTTTACTAACTACTTTTTTTTTTTTTTTTTTTTTTCCACCACACACACACACCCCAGGAAGCAGCCCGTGACAGCTGACTAACTCCCAGGTACCTATTTACTGCTAGGTAACAGGGGCACTTAGGGTGAAAGAAACTTTGCCCATTTGTTTCTGCCTCGTGCGGGAATCGAACCCGCGCCACAGAATTACGAGTCCTGCGCGCTATCCACCAGGCTACGAGGCCCCCACCAGGCTACGAGGCCCCCGTGTGTGTGTGTGTGTGTGTGTGTGTGTGTGTGTGTGTGTGTGTGTGTGTGTGTGTGGTAGAGGACAAAGTGGAGGGAGAGGGTGAGTGAGTCCGTGGCTGGTGGCGCAGTGGTAACACCCTCGTCTCGCGAGCGATGTGTTTAGGTTCGAGTCCTGGCCAGGGAGAATTGTCTGAACGCCAGTCATTAACTGTTCGCCACTGTTCACCCAGCAGTAGTTGTGTCCTTGGTTGTTAACCAA